TGATTTCACTTGTAGACTTGTCCTTTCCCCCCTTCCTTCACTGCTCTCATAGCTGTGTATATTTTCAACACCAGTCTGCTTGTACCGTTTCTCATGGTCTCTTCGCTTGCGGATTTCTTATATTTTTCCTTCTACCCTGAAGATGGAGGCGATACGTTCCTCCGAAACGTCGGTTAACACCACATATAGAAATTTGAGGACCAAAAAATAAGAATCTATTTTCCATAAGACAGGCACAAGTCACAAATATTTACACAGTAGAACAATGAAGGGATGATCGGCTAGTGACAAACTAAATTTAGTCCTGTTGGATCGAAATATAAGTACAATTACAAGATTATTTGTTCATCCATTACAGAGTCTGTAAAGACATATGGAAAATATATATACACATAAAATTATTAACAATAGGAGTAAGCTTCTGGAGGTGATGTGTAATGAAAACACTTCAGGATAAAGTCATGAATGTTGTAATTAGAGAAGAGGTTGGTGTAGAGAAAATAGTAAATGACTGAACTGATGAAAAGTGACTGCTATTGAATGGACATATTTGTTGAAATGAAGATCACCGGTTACATGACAGACACTAGAATGCAGCCCAGTAGGGTGCCAGAAGTGGGACAGATCACTAAGAATGTGGATGAAAATATAATTAAACTAATGTGGAAGTGAGGCCTGTCTCATAATGACGTAGGAAGTCATGACAAATGGACAAGGAACCCTTAAAGAGAAGAAGAAAAAGGTGGCGGAGGAGGAGGAATGCACTCTGATATTGGCGCATTACAAACTAACAATAGAAAGCAATATCAAATATTTATTCCTTTTAATTGGTCTCAATATTGTCATGTGTAGGTTGGTACACATGACACAATTAACGGGTTGTAATTTGGATGATTGGATTTTTTAGCACTTCGCTTATACGCTCTCTCTCCTTAATTAAAATTAGTGAAGCGCTATCGCTGTTTCTACGCTTTATAATTCACTGTTACACACACGCACACACACACACACACACGCACACACACTACTCCTCTCCTGGTAACGCAATTAAAACACAGGAACTAGTGCTTCAAATCACTCTTGCCATCACTGCAGTACCATCCATCCATCAGTAATCTGTCAGACGACAGGTCCACAGTCTCTTCCAAAACAGTTCCTCCACTTAATGCGATTTTCTGTTTTTGGAAAGAGACTATCCAGGAAAAGTGATAATGTGGTAGTTTTTCCATTTGCTTTCCACATCGCAGTACAACAGCCGTTCAAACCACTCTGGTCACGCCTGTTGCTATACGAACTTGAACCATCTCGAGCATCATTTGTTCTGTGCTTCAAGTCGCTGCTGATGACGCTGCTTCCGGCATCAGTTTTTGGTGTCTCTCTTCGTCTGATGCCTACCCTTTGACCTGTTCAGCAAGGGAGGCCCTGCCAGTAGCTACGCTGCCGCTGGTATAGCTCTCAGGGTCCTTGGCATACTCGAACCCCCTCACCACGATAAGGTGGAGACATCAACGAGGGGGCACTGCAGTACAGCACACATAAAATCTTCAAAATCCAGGACTGCTAACTATTTAATAACAATGTCCAGTAAAATTCTGGGAAATGTAATTGCACTGTTTAACACACCTACACTCTTTCAAAAATATTTATTTTCTATGTTGTAGTTTAGCTTATGTTTATATACACTTGAAATTAAGTATATGCATTAGAGAACCATTCAAAAGGAACTTGGCTTCTACTCAGTTTAAGGATGAAGATGCAAGATCAATTAGGTGTATCTGTGTTAAATTACACAATGTAAAACAAAAAATGAACTTGTAATGAAGCAAGTAGTTGCCACCTAACAATAACTTTTGTTTATTATGTGTATTTTATTTTCCAGGGACAGAAAGACAGATGAAAGATGAGATCTTACATGGGTTCAGACAATTTGATGAAACTGGGAGACTGACACCAGAACTTTCCATAATAATGAAACAAATTCCTTTATCATCCATCTCTGGTTTGACATCATCGAGCACGTCACCTGTAACACGTGAGAGTCTCACGTGTTTAGCATGCCTTGCAGCAGTTGATATTATGAAAATATACATAGACACTCATACAAGAGATCAAGTTTATAATCTCGTAGTTGCACTGTGCCTTGACCTGACAGATTACAAGGAAGAAGTTTGTCTTGGATCTGTTGGATTACACCTGGTAAATGAATTTAATTCATAAAATGAGTAACACTTTTTCATGTATAAATAGTATAATTTTAGTAACAGCTGCTATATGATTAAAGTCATTGGGCAATGGTGGGGGGACCGAAGCCAGGCATCTTCTCCTGCCTAAATGTTTGGAAAAACTCAAAATTGAAAAAAGAAAAAATATGCCACATATTAATACAATTTGAAAGTATTTTTACACAATGTATTCTTCTATCCTGAATTCTTTGGAGTGATTGGTAAAAACAGTCTTTAATGGCTTAAATGTTAGTCTGTAAGCAGATTTTCTGTCCCCCTCCTGAGAAAAACTCTTGGAAGTATCTGTGATTAAATTCTGAAGGATTTAGTAATACATGTTTCTTACCATAAAATTGTTTAACAAAATAGGACTACTACAATTTCTAAAAAAAAAACTAAAGAATTGAGTTGAAGCAGAAGAATATAACACTCTTGTTGGATGTTCGTTTGAACTACAAATGTAAAAGAGTGCAGTTAGAAGTCTGCAGCATGCAGATTACATATGTGTATGTCTAGCAGAATAGTGCTTGTAAATAAAATATACAAATTGCAATGTACTGGGCCAGTAGTGTTTTGAAACAGAAAATGCTGACATCACTATCCACTAATGCTGTTTTGAGGTGAACAGCAATGTGAACTGCTGCAAGGGGTCATTAAATCATGGCTGGGCTGAAGTAAACATACTTTAAGCAAGATTTGAGGCTTTCACGGCGGTGACTATGAAGAAAGCAGTCTTCTGGGATTTGGTGTTTGATATATGTGGTGTTAACCGACGTTTTGGAGGAACATATCGCCTCCATCTTCAGGGTAGAAGAAAAAATATAAGAAATCCGCAAGCAGTCTGCTTTTACCGGTTCTCACAGTCTCTTCGCTTGCGGATTTCTTATATTTTTCCTTCTACCACATATACACGGTGCCAAATCCCAGAAGACTGCTTTCTTCATACTTTAAGCAATCTGTGGCTGACTAACATTCTGGTACCAGAACCTACATTTCAGTACTGCTTATGTGGAAGCCTGCAATTGGATATGATCCTAACTCAGTCCCAACTACCTTAAATCCTCACACCCTGCTTCCCTAAGATCCAACTCAGTGCTATCATCCCCTCTGTTTCTTGGTCTTCCAAGTGATATTTTCCAAGAGGTTTTACTGCACACTGTCTTAAAACTAGTTCCTTTCCACTTCCACAACGCTTGTTACCAACCATATCACTTCTGTGAGTAACAAGCACACTTTCAAGATGGATTTCATTCTTGGGAAAAGGTAATACCAGCAGGGGTTAGATCTGCAGAGGAGTGAGTCTGTGGAGGCATAGGGGTACAATTTTGGTCAGATATACTTGTACCAAAATAGCTGATTTGCTGGTGTACTGTCATGGTGGACCAGTCCACACATACAGTTCTTGTTAATATCATTCATTCATTCATTCCTTCATTGTAAAATTCCATCGATCCAATCGAGGCCACAGATTACACCTGACGGATATAGAACCAGTCACAAACGGGTAACCTATACAATGAAATGTACAATAAATATGTAACATAGCAATTAAGAAATTAGTAAAAAATACACATGCTTTATGGAAATTAAACATAGGTCAGATGAAACAATAAGTCTACCTGATTTATCTTCCTACTTTAAACATGGCAACATCTTAAATTTAAAACACATCTTCATGCCAGAAAGTAAGTGATTATATATCTTTTGCAAAAATAGAGCACCTTATGATGCATAAAACATATGGATAAAAATATAACATTAAGATTAGTATTTACTATTAAAAAAGTCCTTCAGTGAATAAAAGGAATTCAGTAGAAGGTATTTTTTTTAAGTATTTTTAAATTGATTCTTATAGTCTAACAATTATTTTATGTACGAAGGTAAGTGATTAAATATCATTATACCTGTATAATAAAAACCATTTATATATATATTTATATATTTATTTTTGACATACTTTTTACTCTTACTGTGTTTACTGTGAAGTTCCTTATTATGGAATATAATAAATTGCTTGCTTATTGTTAAAAAACAAATACAATGGAAAGCAACAGCAATGGGATTAAAAAGTAGAACGAATCATTGTGTATGACTATAGTAACAGAGTCCCAATCATTCATTAGACACAATGAAAAATGTCAACTACTAACTGTAAAAATTTTGCATGCTCTACAGGATCCAATACTTTACATATATAAGCACACTGCAAATCTTCCTGCTGCTCGACTCTGTGGAATTGTGTTTCAAGGAAGTCAATGTTTTGTAGATGAGCCAAGTCTTGAATGGTCTATTGATATTGATCCTGGATCTAAATCAGAAGACAACAGAATTGAAGACAAGAAAGCACATGTAAGGATAAGCTTATACATATATAACACATTTATAAACTGAAAGGTGATGGTGAAAGGTTCTTCAATAGTAACATATGTGAATAACTATATCAATGTGAAATAAAAGGTGACATATTCATGTCCAGGGCCAAACTGACAAAAGAGAAATGAATAGAATGAGATGTATAGTAACAGAGAATTTAAGAATTTCACTGCTTTCCATTTCTGAACCTGAAATTTGTCTCAGTAATATTTAAAATTTTGATTCTACCTCACAAATATCACAATGTATCTCCAATATAAAGACCAATTAGTTAATGCTGTTTTGGTAAAACAACCGCTGTTTATTCTGGGAACCATACAAAACACATAACTACACCCTGTGGACAACATGGAGAGTTTCTTAATATTAAAACTGGTAGTGCATATAGTAATGAGTTCAAAGCCCATTCTCTGTTATTTTGAAAGACAGAGTTCATGATGAAGCCATTTTAGGACAAAATTAGTTTTAGCCATGGAGCCAAATCAAATTGAATCTGTGTGCCTAATATTAGCATGAAAATGGTTTTTCAATTTAGAATAACCCAATTTCTGTACTCTGTGACCAACCATGTGTCAGGCAAGAGAGGAAGTGGCCAAATTAAAAACTGAAGATGTGGTTAAAAAATTTCAAAACAAATTAAAAGAAAATAAAACTCTGTATCAGTAGGGAGTAGGGACAGTAGGGACACGTGGTAGCATAGTTGGTTGAGGCACAATGCTACAAGCTGGAAGGTAGCAGGTTAGAGTCCCATTGAGGTGGATATTTTTCAATTGACCTAATCCTCCCAACCACATTATAGCCCTGAAGTCAACTCAGCCTCTAACACAAATGAGTGTCAGGAATCTTCCTGGGTGATAAAGGGCAGATGGCACATAAGGCTGACAACCTTACCCCCATCTGTGAGCCGATTGTCTAGAGAAAATTTTTGAGCCTCGATGTCTCACAGCCCTATGGACCTTTATGGCCTGTTACAGGGATAACTTTGCCTTTACCATCAAGAGGCAGTGACAAATATGTATGGAGTAATAGTGGAAAAATTATCAAAATGAGAACACCAATAAAACTTAGAAAATAAAACATTCTCCAGTGTCACTCTGGTCAACACAAATGCTAGACAAAGTCACCCATTGCTGAATCCATGGCTCCGGTGTTTAATCACCTAGCTGTGGTGTGGCCAATTGGTAAGATATTTTTAAATGATAAATTTTCAGGCTGCCAGTCCTCTGACTATTATCCAACTGTCAGACATCCACCAACAAGAAGATTACTTACCAGGTGGAAATGCAGCATGTGGACTACCAATATGCTGCAGAATCAACCAAGGTCCCCCACCAAGCCCTGATGCAGCAGCTGGGTACTGGGGTAATGGTGGCTGTGATATACCAATGCATCATTTTGAAAATACACTGAAACAAATTAAGAATACTCACGAGGTAAAGAATCCTTTTTAATATAAGACGATCTGGAAATGGATTGTTAAGAAAGAAGGGAGGTCTTCAAAAAATGAAGACCCATACATAAAGTGACAAAAAGGTAGTGGTATAAGTTCAAATTTCATGTTCCCAAGTACAACAAATTTACAAATTACAACACATTAGTAAAAATACTTGTGAGGGCTATTAGGAAAGTAATCTCCATCTGTTTAAGGCAATTAATGTAGTAGCGGGGGAGGGCTCACACATGCGAGGTAGTGTCACATGACTCATTGTATTGTATGTAAACCATCACATAACTGGTCACCCACTATTTGCTCTTGTCTCTACAGAGTAAGTTATGATGTGTCCTGATATTGATAATCCTGCCAGCTCCAAAATTCATGCTGATATCCACCTTCTTCATGCTTAAAATGTGAGTGCTGCTGAAATCCATCATGAATCATGTGCAGTTTATGGCCAAAATATAATGCATGAATGCATGAAGGAACTGTAAGACAGTGGTGCAGAATATTCAAAGATAGATGGACAAACAAATGTTCATGATGAAGAGCAATATGGTTGGCCATCGGTACCGAGTGATGATCTTGATCAAATTGTTGACAAAAAATTTGTGAAAGATGGTACTTCATAATTTCAGAACTTCCACAGTTTCCACACACTGTCCTCTATGAGATTATCACAGTTAGGTTGAGCTATCACAAGTTTTGTGCAACATGGGTTCCAAAATTGCTCATGAGTGAGCACAAAATACAGAGAATGACCTTCTATGGTTTCAGCTTCATAACAGCGATATGACAAAAATGGAGATGAATTTCTCAGTCACATCATGCAAATAACAGGTGATCAAACCTGGGTTTCATTTGTGAATGTTGAAATCAAAGAGCAGATGAGGCAGTGGATGCACACACACAACAAAACAAGCAGAAAAATTTTGAACAAACATTGTCTGCCAGAAAGCTGATGACAACTGTTTTCTGTGACAGGAAAGGAATGATGATGGCAGAATTCATGCAACTAGGGACCACAATATACACAAGTATATTGCGAAACAGTAAACCAAAAAATAAACCTGTGTAGCTTCATTCAGAACAAAAGGCATGGAATGCTGACAGATGGTGTAGTGCTCCTCCATGACAATGCATGTCCGCGTACAACTGCTCACCCTTGAACACTGCTGGAGCATTTCAAGTTCGAGCTGATTGACCACATTTATTACATCCCTGATCTTCACTCCAAGCGACGACATCCTGTTTATTTACCTGAAGAACTGGTTGGGATCACAGCCTTTCAACAGTAATGAGGAATTGATGGAAGGTATCAAAACGTGGCTGTGCTCACAGATGACAGATTTCTTTGATATAGGCATAAGAAACGCGTTCCCTGATATGACAAGTGTCTCAAGTCTGGTGAAGACTGCGTTGTGAAGTAGCTAAGTGTGTAAGAATTTCTGTTACAAGAAATTATTTTTTCATTGTTTTTTTTTTGTTAACAGCTTACTGCAAGTTACTTTGTGAATACACCTCATGCAGTTTGAAACAAACAGTTTGTCCGCCATACTGCAGAAGCTTTCTTCGGCATAACATGCACCAATATACTCTATTTAATATTGTGAAATTATAAATTGAAAATGGCTAGAAAATGGAGAGCCACTTCATGGTCCACTGTTATATATTATTCTCTTAGTATGCATCTGTCATCTGTGATACAGAAAATAGTGTCTTATTCCAACCAATTTCCAAGTTGGAAGAGAACAACAGCACAGTCCGTATTTTCCTAACAGAAATGTCTCAGAAACAAAACTGATGAAGAGCAAATTATATTATTTTCTGAGAGACATGAAAATTCTATAAACTTGTAACAGGGGAAGGAGCAGTGTATTCTGATACCCAACATTATAATATATTTCAGATGGGCTAAGTGCATAGGGGACCACATGATTCCTAATTCCAATTCTGGCAGCAGTGACTTACTGTAATTAGAGTTTCAACCTTTCCCCCCTACATCTTCAAGCACTGATATATCCTCAGGATCCGATTCTTCTTTTTGAGATACAGAAAAAAATATTTTTGGTTTTATTCGTGTTTTGTTACTTTCCTGATTTTGTACTACCCCACCACCTTACAACAGTTGAACAGGCACAGAAACTCAAATGTTCAAGGACTATAATATAAATGTATTCATCACTGATGTAAACAAAGAAATATAACTGAACATAAGTATATTCAAGTGTTATCATGAAAATGTTACAGTAAAGCTATCCCTGTAACAGGCCACGAAGGCCCATAGGGTTGTGAGACATTAAGGGTCCCACATTATCTAGACAATCGGCTCAAAGATGGTGGTAAGGTTGTCAGCCTTATGCGCCAGCCGCACTTTACTCCCCAGGAATATTATTTATTTAATTCCTGGTACTCATTTCTGTTAGAGGCTGAGTGAACCCCAGGGCCATAGTGCGGCCGGAAGGATTAGGTCAACTGAAAAAATCCAGTGACCTCATCAGTATTTGAACCCGTGACCTTCCGACTTGTAGCATAGTGCCTTAACCACTATGCTTGCGGATTTCAGTAGGACAGTATTACTGGGAATGAAACCACAGATCAGCTGGCAAGAGCAGGATCTGAACAACCATTCATAGGACCTGAACCAGCTTGTGGCATCTCAATAGGAGAGTATTGCTGGGAATGAAACAGAAGATCAGCTGGCAAAAACAGGATCTGGACAGTCGTTCTCAGGACCTGAACCAGCTTGCGGCATCTCAGTAGGAGAGTATTGCTGGAAATGAAACCACAGATCAGCTGGCAAGAGCAGGATCTGAACAACCATTCATAGCACCTGAACCAGCTTGTGGCATCTCAATTGGATTTGCTAAGAAAGCGACCAAGGACTGAACAGATAGAAATCACAAAAACACTGGGATTCCACAACTGGATTCAAACAGGCAAAGGGGTTTATATCAGGACCCTCTGCCAGAAGAACAAAGGACCTGTTGAAATTAAACAGAGATCAATTAAGATGGGTGGTAGGATTTCTTACTGGAAACTGCCACCTAAAAGGACACCTTTCAAAACTGGGACTGACAGACTACCCAACCTGTGAAAGGTGCCTACAAGAAAACGAATCAGCCACATACATCCTGTGTGACTGTGAGGCCAAATCTTACTTAAGATATTGCCACCTGGGTCAATTCTTCATGGAACCAAGTGACTTTTATGATGCCCCCATAAATAAAGTCCTGCATTTCATTCAAAATGTAGGATCAATTAAGGGTTTCATGGCCCACCCTTTACATACACACGCGCGCGCGTGCGCGAACGCGTGCTTGCAGGCACAGATATATAATATATATATATATATATATATATATGTGGTATCTTCATAGACATAGCACTTACCTATAAATTTGAATGTCTGTGTGTGGGGGGAGGGAGGGCTTCATGCTAACATGATGTTGGAGGCATACATGCATATGCACGTTTTTTCCTTGCATTCAAAGATGACATGACCTCAGGAAGAATGTTGGAGGAATGTAGTATGGAGCATGGCTGATATATTTTTCTGTTATTCTCCTGCAACTGTATGTTTTGAGTGGTATCTACCTAAACTGATTTAGCATAAGGGGGACAGAAAAAAGGAAGGAAGAGAGGAATGATGACAGAATTGTCAAATTTAAGGGCTGGGAAAGGAGGGATAGTGATAAAGGCACAAAAGTGATATAAGAAAGGAATAAATGGGATGAGAGATGAAGATACAAAACAAACGATCTTCCCTGACAGATTAAACTTGTGCATGTGATGAGAAGCCACAACCAAATTAGGGGATATCCTGGGTTTTCTTTGTGACTTGTCCTGGTCCATCCAAGAAAATACCAAAATGGAACCCTGAAACACATCATGGCCACTTTACTTCACACTCCTCCCAAATTATCTTTATAATAATAGTATTGTTTATCATTGCATACTAAATTAAATTTGTAGTTGATACAATGCACCTAAGAATTCCATAATGATGAAACCCAGTACAGATATGTTTACCTGGCATATCCCACCTGCACAATGCTAAAACATCACAGTTACTTATGTCAGCATGTATTACTACAGTATGATCTTTATAATGGTAGTTTATATTTGATGTTTCAATTATACTGCATGTAATCAGTAAACATTAAGAACATTTAGTAAACTCCCAGTTATCTGGTATCCAGGCAGCATCTATTCATCAAAAATCTCAAAGAAAATTTACAATTTTTCTAAATGTATTCAAATGCAAATTTCCACTGTACATATATTCACCCACCATGTCATAGTTTTCTCAGCCACAACTAGCAGCAGTACCCACCATCCTCCCTTACACAGGTACCTTTACACCAGGGTTTACTTGAATTTGTGAAAGCATTACAGTATATACGTGGTATATACAAACTCTTTCACCTTGCAATCCACTGTGTCAGCAAGGAAGACTTCCAGATAAGAACTAAAGCCAGATCATGTTGTTTTAATTTTATACTTGGTTTCTGTAAGAGTTTTTCTGATGCATATGGCAGAATTACAGATTCATGTGAAGAGGATACTACATTCCACATGTATGCCAGATAACAGGGTGTTTACTGTCACTTTTATCACAGATGAAAAGACTTTCTATTGAATTTTCAATGGGAATTACACTAGAGTTTATAGAAGACAAACGTCTAAATTTGTAAAATGATAAATACAGGCAAAATAGCAATGTCTTCTAGAGCTGGAAGCAGTACAGGTGAGTCACCAATTAAGTCGGACATAACCTCAAGGAATCCACTCTAAAACTGGGATATATTAGATAATATCTGCATATCATGAAATTAATATAGATTAAGAGGTTATGACTTCAAACAACGTGAACAGGTCCTTATTTCACCAATATTGTTTTTACAGAACATTGATTTTATCTACATAACTGGAGATATTGTGGACCGTGTGGTATGGGATACAAAAATTCCAACAAACATTGGTGTTCTAACAAATATTACAGAAAGATTGCTAACAACGTTTCCAAATACACCTGTGTATACAGTTTTTGGAAATCATGAACCAAGTCCATTAAATGTGTAAGTGTCTCTTGCTTCTTCTACTGCTACTGTAAATTTTTTGATATTTTAAATTAGTGACTTAGATGTTAGTTTATGTTTAATATTTACTCCTTGAAGTCACATTCTTCAATTTCTTTACATAAAAACAAAAATTACAAAAAATACTTTGTCATCAATTAAAGGAGCTGTCTTAATTGGCATAACAAACAAACAAGGAAACAAGTTACTAATAAAACACAAAGCATCAATATCCATAGCACTATAATTGAATCAAATTCTAAACTACTCAAATCCCACAAACATTCTTACAACCTACTTCTCTAGGATACCTTTTAATATTACATTCCCACCTACATTTTGAAATCCATTTCCTCACATCCAATTTATTAAAATCCACTTTGAAATCATTTTTTCATGCTCTGATTATTACCATGGTCATTTTCGAAGCGGTCTTGTCAACAGTCCATAATTATTTCTTATTTTCCAATGTCTGAGCTACATATTAATGTAATTTAACTATGGCATGGTATGTGAAGCTTAGTCTCAGACAATAAGGGAGGAACATAGATGTTTAAGAACTGGGTGCTGAGGACAGTACTTGGACCAAAGAGAGATGAAGTGATGGGAGGTTGGAGAAAACTTCATGATGAGGAGATTTGTAACTTGTACTCTTTGGCATGTATAATTAGAATTATCAACTGAAGCAGGGTGAGATGGGCAGGGCATATAGCACAAATGGGAGAGAATAGAATTGCATATAGGATATTGGTGACAAGGCCAGAAGGAAAGAGACCACTAAGAAGACCAAGACATAGAAGGGTGGATAATTATAAAAATTTATCTGAAGAGAGACAGGATGGGGTGGTGTGGACTGGATTGATCTAGCTCTGGATATGGGCCAATGAAGGGGTCACAGTAATGAACCTTCAGGTTCCATAAAATGTTCAGAAGTTCTTGAGTAGCTGCACAACTGACAGTTTCTCGAGAAGGGCTCAGCTACATTGGCTAGTTAGTTAGCTACATAGTATAACAGAAACTATATAAAATAATATATTCTTCAGAATGTTACAATTTTCTATTAATTTAGATCAATTTCTTTTATTGACATTCAGCTTTCAGATACTCTGCACTCACATTTGGGAGACTACAGTTCATCGCCATGGACACTAAAACATGAAATACTGCTGGAGAGAATAGTTCAAATAAATTTTCTTTGCCAATTCCAGTAAGAACCTTGGTGTCTGATTGTGGAAACTTACTCCACTGAAGTTCTCTTCATTTTATAATTCAGAAGGGTTAGAATTATCCATGACTGACATAAAATGAATTTCACCAAATCTTCTTGTGCTATCAGTCATGATAACTGGTTAAAGATTACATGTTCCAGGGACCATCCCTGCCCACATCTTCAGGGTCTGATTATATCAGACCCTGATTATAGAGACAGAAATAGACCAATTGACATGGGTGACAGCCCAAGAAGATTTTATTAACCTCAGCCACCATGAAAGCTTCAGATCTTACAAAAATTTTATTTTTAAAAGAGTGTTCACTAAGCTCAAAAATGTATTAAGACCAAAAAAGTAAGTTGTGCACCTTCTTGACTTCTGACTCTGTTATAGACACTATTTTGTAGTAATAAATTGATTTCATGGTTAATTAACATATAATTAACACTGCAACAGAAGTACTGAATTAGTCTGACAAGCTGTTTATGCAAAATGGAACTGCTTCTGCATGGCGCACTACATTACTTTTAATATTTGCTTACAGGTTTGCACCACATTACATTACCGATGAGACAGTTTCAGTAAATTGGTTATATAATTTGTCAATAAACCTGTGGTCTCACTGGCTGCCACCGGAAACCAATGAAACTATTTTACGTGGAGGCTACTACACTGCCCTGGCAAAACCGGGTTTTCGAATTATAGGTCTCAACAATAATGTCTGCTACCCTGAAAACTGGTAAAGTCTGAAGAAATTCTACTGAAATGCTTGACATACGTGATCCAAATGAAAATATCTTCCCAGTCGCAAAAGACTGGTTCCACCTCTGGAAAGACAACTGTCTAAGCACAAGACAGTCTGTTTACAATAACACTGGAAATAAATACCTTAATGGAGTCTATGTCCCTGAAAAATGACACTGCAACAAAAATATGTGTAAGATTGCAGTATTCTGGATATGAAGTCATGTTGTACAAGCATTTCAAAGTAATCTGCTGCCTCCACCTCCATAAGGTAGCAGATTACTTCGAAATGCTGGTACTAAACAATAAGGCATCATATCCCAGGAGACAATAATCTTGAAAATCATGGCCATGAGGTTTTCAAACATCGAAAACTTGAGTGTGAAATAAAATGCTACAGTACAGATCTGTTTTTAAAACAAAATATTGATCATTTATACACTGCTGCTGTTGTCGCCATGTGACTTACTTTAGTGATGTCACTTATATGGGAAGAGCCACGCCATAGCTCAAGCGGTTAGATGCTGGCTTCCCACCGCAGCGGCCCAGGTTCGATCCCGGGGTCTAGACAAGTGGGATTTGTGGTGGACAAAGTGGCGCTGGGGGGGGGGGGTTCAATTAAGTACCTTCTTGATAGACTTCTAGGGAACCAGAATAGCACAGTCAGTATAGAGACTGCCTACAGGCTGAACAACTGAGAGGTTGGAGATGAATCCTGGTAGGGGCAAGGATTTTCTCCTCTCCATGTCTTCCATGCCGGTTTTGGGGCCCACCCAGCGTCCTACCCAATGGGCACACCTGTCGCCTCCAACTAGTGCAAAGGTCAAGAAAATGTGGTACATCCACTCCCTCATTTGCTCAATTAGTTAAGCACAGGGACAACTTTATCTTTACCTTGACAATCTTCCTGACATCAAAATAACTTGCTCACTCTCAGCAGTCTGTCATCACAAAATGAGTACTTTAAAACACAACAACCGAAAATAGAGAGAAATATTGCTGTAGATAAATATATAATAACCACCTTTATAACGTTTAAATGTATACAGTTCATACACAATAAATAACTGATTTACTGGATAGGTGGATGATACATAACCCAAAGGACCAAGACGGACAGCTTCAGTGGCTGGCTGATACACTGCTCCAAGCTGAGAAAAATGGAGAAAAGGTTCACATTCTTGGACACATAACTTCAGATCAGTGTTTCAGGACTTGGGCCAGAGAATTCCGCAGGATTGTTAGCAGGTTAGTAAACAAGCATGAAGCTACTGGTACGAGTTATAGACACAACGTGCACTATACATTATGTAATTCATGATTTCATTTGTGAAGCTAATGCTCTTCTAACCATATTTGAAGAATATCAGATATAATTTTCTATCAATTCGATGAAAGGAGGATTCCTTCTTGTTAAGGCTGTGCACTGCTCACTTTTTAATGATGTCTCCAACTTTGAAACCTGTTCATTTTCTTAATTCTGCAGTCACTGAGTAGTGGTTCACATCAAAGTCAGCTCAGGTATAAAATCAAACATCAATGAGTCTTTATAAAGCCATTTCTTATCAAGTAAAATATTTCTGTCATCTCATCATAACAGGCCCAGGCATGCTTATTTATACCACAAGGTGGAAAAAGTAATACTTGTGACATCCAGATTTTTTCATTTGGCAAACTTTACCAATCTCATCCAATTATCTTCACTAATTTTATGCAAACTCTTCTTCCTTGTAGTTGGCATGAAAGTGTCTTCTCACTCACATTTAGCATTGATTTATCTTGGAAAAATGTTCATATAATTTCTATTGAATTGAATTGAATTTATTTACATTCTATAAATCCTAAGCAGGTTAGTACCTTTGGATACAGAACAAGTCAAAATGTTACATACATAAGTACAGGCAATTTTAGCTTAAAAATTAATATAACTTAATTTTACATCATTCTCTATTTACATTGAAGTATTCATCTAAAGAGTAGAAGGAATGAGCATGTAGATAATTCTTTAACTCTGATTTAAACTTTTTAGTATCATTGCCCAAGTTTTTAATACTTTGTGGCAGACTGTTGAACACTTTTATGCCAGTAAAGTAGACTCCTTTTTGATATACTGATAAAGTTGATGAGGGTAGGTGGAAGTTGAAAAAGTAAAAAAAAAAAATATGTCTTATACACGAAATTGAAGAATTATTTCTTCTGTGGATATAACGTCACATACTTCATGGAAACTCAACACACGTTTCTGAGGAACATGTCACCTCCATCTTCAGCATTGAAGAATAAGCCAAGCAAGAATAAGCATGAGCAGGATGCAAAAAAATACATGGTTTGAGAAAGCACAGGATTACATAGAACGCACACAACAGAGCACCACAGACAAACCACTTAACTCAGACTGACGCCAGCTCACTAACAGTCGCAGGAGACCCCCAGCTAACACCATCTAGCAGCACAACTCGTAACTACAAAGCATGCGCGCGCAACAGGTCGTTTCCTGTTATTTTTGGGTCCCCCCTCGTATATGTGTCATTTCAAGCTGTCTACCCTGAGATTCCAAAAGTATTTGTGGCAGAAGGCCAACTCTTAAATAACTGTTAACAAATATTAGACAGTTGATTTTTAATTTTCTTATATGGGCATACATTCCATTCTAGGGTCTTCCAACATATAATTTTCTCTTCTTATGGAAGTATAAAATTTTGTGAAAAGGCGTTTTCTTTGACAGGTTTTACAGTGTCAAGAGTAGAACAGCAGTAGAACTTGGATACTTGGGCTGTGGGATTGATGATGTTCTAAAATACAACCACATAAAAATGTAACAATTTTACATATTAAATTGTATAAATTGAATGTACAGAATAGCTATGAAGTTATGTAAAATGTCGATGTTGAAAAGTTGGCTGGCCCTGAAAAGGGCAGTTTGTTCTACCATGAGTGCGCTGGCAGAGTTTGCTCCTTTGTAGTAGACCAAGTCTTTATGGCTGATCAGCTGGTTTGTCTGGCTGGTGATTTGGTGCTGCGTGTGCCAGTAGGAACAGCTGCCTATGGTGCAGCTGATGACTGAGTTGTGGTCTCGGCTTGGTTGCTGGAGAGCTGCAGCAGCTACATTAGCTGTCTGGTAGCAGAGCGCGGTTGCTGGAGAGTTGCGGCAGCTGTCTTTGGCGCGGGAAGTGCTGATGACTCTGATGACTGAATGTGATCACTGACGATTGCTAGTTTTGGGCTCCGCCTTTTATACTATGCTTGTTGGGCAGAGCTATGTTGCAGTTGCTGACTGGCCAGCGCATGCGATGATGTAAATGTGGGCTGGACAGTGAGTGCTGTATAAATACGAGTGCTGGCAGCAATGTGATGTTGACTAGGAGTAGAGTGCTGTCTGTTAGACCGGCGAAAGCGCCTGTTCGCATGTGGAATGTTCCCACAGGTTGGAAAGAGGAGAGAATTTCATTATATTTATATGATATCTGAAGTTCTTACAGCAGCAAATATTAAAAATGCAGTCTTGTACTAGACTAAGAACATCACAACCCAGAAATCTGAAACTTGTTAGTTCTAATTATTGCATCAAAGACTGTCGATACTGAAACATTTTCTAAAACATGCCCATTTATTTTCAGGTTTGAGAACACAATAACAGCTATCTTCAAAGGACACACTCACAGTGATCAATTTAATGTCTATTATTCCTTCGATAGACCAGGTCATGCTACTGGTGTGGCATTCAATGGTGCCAGTGTCACCCCAGGCCCAAACTCTAATTACAAGGTGTACACTGTGGATCCTAACAATTATGTGAGTATATCAGACACAAAGGTAAAGAACAAATTTTCCTGTACCTAAGCACCATAGAATGGAGGAATAAAGGGGCATGATAGTAAATATTTTGTGCATCCAGCACATTGCTAGGAGGCTGGGTAGACTTAACATCTGGCCTGAATGTGGTAGAAAACACAACACACCTGCTTCTCCCAGCAATTAAACCAATTCTGTCCAGCCCATTGTCTGTAGCTAACCATTTTAATGACTGACATATAACAGGCACACACACACACACACACACACACACACACACATCAATGACCCACCATTCACAAAGAAAGTAGAATGATGAGGTGACCATAATAATTTTAAAAAATGTGAAAAATTAATAAAATTGAAATACAACAAGACTGTAAAAGCATAATCACACACTTCATGAGCACATTCAGCAGAAGGAGTCATAAGTGATATGAACTTGAAATTGTTTATATAATTATCCTAAGCCAGATGGAACCAGTCCATCACCCCATCATATTTCTCTATGATCCATTTTAATATTATTTTGCCATTTATGTTTGGGTCTTCCTAGTAGTCTCTTTTATTCAGGTTTTCATGCCAAAACCCTGCATACACTACTCTTATCTCCCATGTGTGCTACATGCCCTACCTATCTCATCTTCCATGACTTCATCACTCTAATTACGAGGTGGTTGAAATATGACCGGGACTGATTTTTTTGTAAACAAGCCGCACTGCGCAGCAGCTGTGCGACCTTGAGAGATTGTAGCCAGAACCTCCACTCTCCCTCCTCTTAGGGTTAGAACCTGTTCAGTCCTGTCTGGGAGTTGCTAGAGGGATGATCATACAGAAGGTACCATGGAGCGTGGAACAACGCATTGTGATCAAATTCCTCATTGGAGAAAACGTCCCGTCCGCTGAAATTCACCACACACTCCAACAACAGTATGGGGAAGAGTGTCTCTCATGGACCGGTGTGTTGAGTGGTGTAAGTGCTTCAGAGAGGGCAGAGAGCGCGTGGAGAATGAACTGCATGATCGTCGACCATGAACATCCGTCACCAAGCCAAACATTGATCGTGCAGACGCACTTATTCGTGAGAATAGGTGCATCACTATGAAGGAACTTTGAGCAATGCTGTCCATCAGTGTTGGTAGTGTAGAGGACATCGTGAAATACCACCTGCACTATCGCAAGGTGAATGCACGGTGGGTACCATGCACTTTGACGAATGTGAACAAAATGGTGCATATGCATGCTGCCAGTTGTCTCCTACAGCAGTTTGAAGATGAAGTCTATAGTGACCACCAATGAACCGTGGGTGCACTACTTCATTCCTGAGTCCCAGCAGTCATCACGCGAGTGGCGGCATACCAGTTCTCCCAAACCCAAGAGAGCGCGGAGGAGCCGCTCAGCAGGAAAAGTGATGGCAACGTTCTTCTGGGACTGGCAGGGGATTATCCATGTAGACTTTCTGACAGATGCCAGAACAGTCAATGCAACTTATTACTCAGACCTTCTGGCAACAGACGTGAAGGAAAAGATCCGATCCGAGCGGAAGACAGATGGAAAGCGGGTAGCTTCCTTCAAGACAATGCACGCCCCTATATGGCCAAAACAACAATGGAAACCCTTCGGAAATTGAAATGGAACCTTCTGACACATCCGCCATACAGTCCCGATTTTGCCCCAAGTGATTTTTACCTGTTCGGAAGGCTCAAATCAGACTTGCAAGTCATGTGGTTTGTGGACGACGCCGTCATCCAGACTGTTCGGGAGTGGATACGCCGCCAATCACAAGTCTTTTGGGGGGGGGGGCATCAGGATGCTTCCAGAAAGTTGGAAAAAATGTGTTGACTCCAGAGGGGAGTACGTTGAAGACTGACATGTGCAAGTAAGTGTTTGGCAATTATGCTTTTTTTTTTTTTTTAAATCAGTCCCGGTCATATTTGAACCACCTTGTATATTTGATGAAGGGTACAAGCTCCTCCTCATGCAATTTTCTCCAGTCTCCCATCATTTCATCCCTCTTTGGTCCAGACATTCTCCTCAGCAGCGTTTTCTAACATCCTCAGTCCACGTTATTCCCATTAATTTTAACTCTTTATGAAAACAATACTTAAAAATTAAATGTCAACAAATACCCACTGATTAGATTTGATACATAATTTCTCATGTCTGCTACTGCTCTTTCTTAACAGTGTTGGTAGATCTCTTTTCATTTTTACAGAAACCATGAGCTTTAATAGTGACAAACGCTATATAGCTCCCTTTAGGTTTTCTTTTATTGTTGGACTGATTGCATTGCCTTCAATATTTATATATTTATTTACTAAAGTTATATGTTACAGAACTAATGAGAGCATGTTTTGTTATCATTTATAACATATACAGTGTCAGAAACTTGAATATGTTAGACTACATAAGCATCAGGGAGAGAAGTGTTTCAGGCAAAGACTGTACAAAAATGAAAAACAAATATTATGCCAAATACCATTTTTTCATAGGTCTTCAGATATGTGAACGAAAGGATAACTATGAGCACACTTCTCAACTTGCCTATTCAGCAAGCAACCATGACCACCTGAACACAATCACAGTTAAAAAAGATTTTTCTTGAGTTAGAATATAGAGATAACAGATGTTTTGTTGTTTTAATATTATAATACAGCTATGAAGCACAAATAAAAAAATGTACATACATTTGATTTTCTTTCAGTGTTAAATAACTGTGAGCAGAAAAGGGACAAACTGTATTGAATATTACTCTATTACAGGCATAACATATTTACTTCTTAGTCATATGATATAAATGCAAACCAAGAGTGAACATACCGATTTTAAGATTCTCACAGCAGTGACTATAAAGAGTACTGTCTTCCAGGACATATGTCATGTGATCTAGCAGAAATTCACCTTCTACTTTTCTGTACTGTGAATAGCTGGACATGTATTTATTATTTGTTTATTATATAGGAACAGTTCTTCATCTTAATTATTTCAATTATAATTCCTTCTGTTGAATTCTCCTGATATGTAAACTGTATGCTTTTACAACCTTGTTTGTGAATTAACGCTTTAATATCCTAAATCCTTTCTCCTTTTTTCTATTTCTGGGAGTGACTTAAGGATGTTTTTGTTAGCAACACTACATGCTCTCAATCACAAATACTGTGTCAAAGATTTTGACCAAACTTTGAAGATCCTTTCTATAACTTAAAACTAAAGTAAGTTTTTCAGCACTATCACACAATTTTCAGTGGTGTGTTACTGGAAGACAAATAAAACTTTTCATTCTTCTCACATAATGTAAAACAAAGCAAACCCTTTTCTATATAATACTAATGAATGAAACAAGGAAAATGCTTCATGTCATGTACAGTTTCTTCATATGATGGATTACTTTAAGAAAGTGACAAAACTGAACCACCATCATATTTAAGTTTCATGGCAAAGAAGATTCATATTGTTGTATCCTGTGTTAAGACACCATGTGTTCTGGAGAGTATAACATTCTGAAGAAACACAATGTCCCCATTAGAGAAAGCAGTATGTTCCTTGAAACACTGGCACACTCTTACCAGGCCATATGTTGTTATGACCAAGAATACCACAGTAATTACATTGTCAAAATACTAAATAAACTTACAATTTTGCAGACTGCATTTTAAATTGTGTACTTTGTATATAAATAAGTATTCTAGCAAAAAAAAATTCTATCTTCAAGAAGATTAACATAGATGTGGCCTGATTGTACTGCATTAAATGTAACTTCAGCTTCCAAATACTGCCATAAAATATTCCTCTTCATTCTTTAGTTATGTCTCTATTATTCTATATGTATCCCAGGAAGAAATGTCAACATTCTGGGAGGTCACAGTATTGGTCATTGTAACCAAAAACTTGTATATATACATGTCCTACTCTGAATGGTTTCCCAGATAAAGCTGTTTCACTATACACTGTACAGACGAGCAACACATCCTCACATGATTTGCAAAGTGCACTGACGTTGACGGTGGAATTTTTTAAAATGTATTATATTAGGTAAACTCTACAAACTTTGTCACTTCAACAATAAATATTGGTATTAGAAACAGTACATAATATCTCTCATCAACAATTTTGGAACTGTACAGTGAAATAGCTCAATCCCAGAAACCGTTCATAATAGGATACTTGTAAAAGTAGACCTTTTTTTCTTAGAATGACCAATATTATGACCTCCCCATATATTGACCTTTGCTCCTGGGACACCCTGATAATTATCATTTATGTATATATTATTCAATACAGTACACAATACTCTTTCTACTCTTTATTTACACCTAAGTAGTACTTAGTAGATGGCAACATCTTTGCTTTCCCTAAAGTACTGAATAAATATTAGCATTAACATTAACTGGAAATTTTTTGCAGACTGTCCTAAACAGTGAATCTTGGATGTACATTTTGACAGATGCTAACAAAAATCCCAGTGAGGATCCAAGCTGGTATCAAGCCTACTCATTTAAAGACGTATTTGGAGTTCAGTCAATGAGTGCTATAGAAATGGGGAACTTGACCCATACACTTGCCAAAAACCGGCCTCTTCTAGAAGAATATGCAAGGTAACTGATTAGTTGTTCAGTTGTAAGTTGTTATTGCCAGAGTACACCCCACTGCATAATTATAGGCACATTTCAGTGACTTCTTTTGGATCTTTAGTTATGCATTTACAGTTCACTTAATGATGCTGCTGGTAGCTCTGACTATACAGCATCAAATAATATAATTATAAGGAATGAATTGGAAAGGATTTCAAAGGAGAGTCATAGCTTAATATGAGGTACCATCCTGACATTTATCTGGAGTGGCTGAAAAAAACTGAATAATCCCAGTCAGAACAGCTGGTTTTCAGGCTGAGATTTGAACCTAGGATCTCCTAAATATGAAACAGAAGTACTTGCTGGCTGGCTTTATGTTTGGCCCTAAGGTGAGAAATTTTAAACAAATGATGTAATAGCTAGACTTATTGTCTCAATAATTTAGTTCAAGAAACAAAAGCAGAGACAGAAAATAAAATGAGTGTAATCAGATATTAAACATTACATTAAAGCAAGAAATTCTTAACTGACCCACGCTCACAACTTCTATCAATGGATATGCTTTCATGTGTACATTCATGCATCCTATAATGTGATTAATATTATATGAAAAACAAATACTAATATACTAATATATATATATATATATATATATCCATATTATATTAATACTATTTTCCATGTGAAAGATGGGATGTTGCTTCCGATATATGGAGAGACAACCATGTAAATACCTGATGAATGCTGGTGAGGCTCCAGCCACATCAGGCTGACTTGCATGAGTGACGGTGATCCTTCTGTGTTTGATAACTGGGTGACTGCGAGCCAGCTGTAGAGTGGCTAGTGCTGGCAGAATGCTTCCCAAGTGTAGAGGTGACCGCTTTCTAAGTCAGTTGGCGGAGTTGCTGCTAGGAGGATTGCTATTACCATGTGTGCCCCAGATGTTATTGCGAAGAAAGAGTAGCTCCAAATGACTAGATAGCTCAATGTGGTGTGCACTGATTGGCTAGCACTTACAGCCTTACAGTTTCTCTACACCTATACTGTATAAAATATTCCCATTTAATAAAATATAACCAAGAAATGCTTCATCATCTGTAGCTACATATTCTGATAGAACCTAAACTAAATCTTACTGACATACCAAAACCGTGCATGGATACAACTACATTTTAAATTCCTGAGAATTTGATTCCCGTCACTCACAGTAGGCTATGGTCTTTTGAGGGGGCCATGTTCCACAGTTAAAAAAAAACACAGATTACAGGGAACAACATAGATATTAGTGCTTGAGAAGAGGGTGCTGATGTAGAATTAGGAGCTTCANGGCTCTACTTGTGACACAGGATGCCTAAGAGGCTCACTCTGTGGTATGGCATTGACACAAACAAATGATGATTTTCAATGCCGTATATTAGAGGAAGAATTTGACGGAGCTAATTGAGCAGGTGGTCATGACAACAGCATTCACAGCACCTGGAGGAGTTTCCTATTGCCTGTCAACACATCCCAGACATTTAAAAAGTAGCAATATATAAATTATATCAAACTTCTGCTATTCTGCACTTTCATCTTTGAAATTTCAATTTCTGAATTCTGTACAGTGTTAACCACAATGAGTTGATAGATCTATGAATGAAACATTTTATAAAGACTGATAAAATGCAACTTACCTTCTTACATCAAGTATGTTATGTGATCATCTTCTTTTCTATATAAAGCAACAGTTATTCAGCCCAGTATGAACGAATACACAAACAATCTTCCTATTCATATACATCATATTTACAGTTTAGATGAGATAATTTACTGTTTTGTCAATACAAAATTTTATCTCAAACAGCAATACTTAACAACATAGAGCAAATCTGAAATAAAAATTACTAAATGTTTCTAGATTTGTGAGACCTAACTGTGTTATTATGTAATTTGAGTTTGACGAGTTAGAACTTGCTTTACATGTGCAAACTGGCACCAGCACAAATCCTAACGTGTACAATAAAAATAAAAATATTTTGTGAATGGAATTAAATAACAGAATAAGAAACATCAGTGTCTTTAATATTACCTAATTAACCCTGGTATCCACAGCCTGATTCTTTAATAAAATGAATCTTAATATTCATCATCCATGGTTGTTCCTTACCTAAAGGGATCAGATGTACAGGTTTGAATGAAACAAGATTTATTTGATAGTGTTTGCAAATATTACTATTCACAAGACTGAAAGTAGTATATTTAAATGTATTAACAGATAACATATAAAATAGAATCAGGCAGTGTGCCCTACCATAGATTTTCTTGATCATCTTAGGATTTCAGCAGTAGGACCACTGTACAAACAAGTGGACAACTAGTATGTCAAACTATAGGCCAACTTCACTATTAACTACTTTCTCTAAGGTACTTGAGAAAGTTACGAACAATAGGCTAAGCCATTATTTGCAGACTAATTATATAATAGTACCAGAACAATTTGGCTTCACGAAAAGAATGCAGCCTTTAAGTTAATGGAGAGTGTATTAAAATCTATTTATCAAAAAATGAATGCTGATGGAATATTCTGTGATTTGGCAAAAAGCTATTGGCTGTGTAAATCATGATTTTTTATTAACTAAATTACTTTTTTTTGGCATTCAAGGAACAACAGCAAGTTGATTCAGATTGTACCTAAGAGACAGAAAACAAAATACTGAAATAAACTCATCAAATTTAATCCAAAGTACCTAGTCAAACTGAGGAACTATAAAGTATGGAGTTCCCCAGGTATAAATTTTAAGGCCTTGGCTTTTCCTAATCTATATAAATGACCTCCCTCCTACACTAAACACCACATTTCACACCCATACAAAACTATAATAAAATACCAGTATATACAGATGACCAACATGCATATGAATATGGCAGTAAGAAAAATCCAGCATCATTGCTACCTTGCAAATATATCAATGCTCTATGGAAATGAGAGTTTGAAATATGCCACATCAGCACGTGCATGTTATACCAGATATAACTGAATTTAGCTGGTCTTTCACACATTGTTTCCATTTTCAAATACTGCAAATATCTTCCCCCATTTATGAATGGAAACTAAAAACAAAAAACCATAATAACCAGATAAACACAATTCTGTATAATATGATCAGCTATGTACTCGAATCTTGCACCAGTTCACAGATTGTGCTGTCACAACTGGCAGAGATGCTAATATGATAACCTCATGTCAGTGCTTCTTAATTCTCTATCATCTATTCATTTTCAAGAAACTATGTTAAATCAGTTAACTGAGGCTCAAAGCCTTAAAATAATATATGCCAAATTCTCATTCCAGAAATATTAGATTTCCTCACTCAATCTGTCAATCTGCTATTTATGAAACTAAAGAGTTATTATTACCACTAATCCCTATTCTGAACCAAATTAATCCACACCACTCTGTCCCACCCTATTTATTTAAGGTCCAGTTTAATATTATCCTCCAATGTCTCCCTGGGTTTTCCATGTAGGCTCTTCCCTTCAGGTTTCCAAAGATGAACACAGAAATACATGTAGGTTTAGTGTAAAGTTCTGTCACTTTTGTCTGGTTTTAGACAAAATTGGAAGTATGTTGGCAAATTTTAGTAAAATTCATCAGTAATACATTTAAAGAAAACTAATCTTAACAAGGAGATGCAACAAAGCACAAGTGCTCTCTACTGGGAAGCAGGAAGCAAAATGGTTATATACAAACAGATGGATGAACATACAGTGAAGTTAATATGCTCACTTTTGAAAATTTTCAATGTGAACACACCTATTTCTATAGCATGCAATTGTAGAAAAGTATATTAAAATAATTTAGAAATGATTCTTTCCAACCTTCAACGTCGGCAGTAAACTTAAGTAGCAAGTATGTTATCAGCAAGGTCATAACCTTGCAGCATTTTCAGTTTTCCTTGCTTCTTATCTCTGGTGGATATGCTTGTTTGTGAAATGTTATTTCATAGATAAGGAAATTAGTAAATAGGAATTATGACTACAGACAATATATATTTTTCTTTGACAACTCAGCACCATATCCAGCATATGAGGTTGCTGACTAGATGACAGGTTTCATTATATACATTTCATTTCATTACATTACATTACATTATGCAGTGTGGGGGCCGGTTTTTATGGCCCACCCCTTACATACATACACACACCAAGAAAATGACTCAAACCTTCATCTTAAGAAACTGGGTTATCAAAATGAAGTGCAAGAATGGCAGCACAATTCCTGAAGTCTGGCCCCTATAAAATAGCCATAATCCATGCTTCACATCTGTGCAGGCCAGCTAGCACAGTTAATTTTTGCAGCTGGTTGCTGCACACTGTCATCAGAGGTGAAATTAATCTACAGTTGACATTCTTTCCTGATGAAGTGGTGTTTCACTTAGATACATAAATACATAAAGTGATCATGACTGGAGTTCACAGAATCCATATTTAACCCACGAAGCCCCACTCCATCCAGTGAAAGTTGGTGTCTGGTGTGTTGTATGTGTATGAACAATTGTTAGACGTGTGTTTTTTTGACCAAATAATTAATCATGAAAGATATGTGCTAGTGATCTGGTTTAGAAAACCGAAATTAACGGTCGTGGGGATCTGTTGCACTGACCACGTGACATCATCTATCCTCAGAAGTTGGCACTAACTTTGCCGGTAAGGGGAGGTCACTCGGTTGGTATAGTTCACTTGCAGACTACAGGCCATGGAGTTTTTTTTTTTACATTATATTATATTATGTGGATCCTAAGTTAGTTAGAATGATGTAGAATGTAGAATATGACACATAAATACAAAAAACATATGTACAGTACAACTGAAGTTTCTACACAAGAAAAGACAGTGGTCACATGTGAGGCCATTCAAAAATACATCCACATATATACACCAATACTGTTAACTTACGCTATTTACACAGCTTTTCAGAGATGAGATGAGATGAGATGATAAATATGTATTTATCACTAGAGTAGAATGAGTGTGTGTTTAAATATTGTTTTAGTGCTACTTTAAATTGTACTTTTCTTTCAATAGACTTTTGAAATAAGATGGCAGATTATTGAATTTTGATCCCAGCATATGTACTTTTCTGAAAGCATGAGAGATTAGCAGTTGGCTTATGGAGATAGTGCTTGTATCTGTATCTGTATCTTTATTTTAATTCCACAAATTCTTTTGTTAATACTGTGTACATCTGAATTGGTGTGAAAATGTTCTTCATAATTTGTAATGAAGTTTATTAATGAAAATTTAAATTCACAAGGAAGAGTTTACATCTCTAGCCTCTTAAATAGACCTCTACAAAAATTACTATGGATTTCACACCCATCCTGATTCTAAAATTTTCTTTTGAAATTCATTCATTCATTCATCTGTAATCTATCAAGACGACAGGTCCACAGTCTCTTCCAAAACAGTTCCTCCACTTGATGCGATCAAGAGCTTTCTCCTTCAAATGAAAATATCCTCTTCTGTCACCAAGGTCATCCAGCATCTTCTTACATCTTCTTCCTCGTCTTCTGGTCACTTCTATCCGCCCCTTTAACTTTCCTTCAATAACTTCTTTTAGAAGGCAGTTACCGCATAAGATATGACCAATCCAATTACCATTCCGTTTTCTTATTTCATGTAGGATATTCCTCTGCTCACTGACTCTAAATAACACTTCTTTATTTCTCACATAATCGGTCCAACTGATCTTCTCCATCCTTCTCCAACACCACATTTCGAAGCTTTCCAGGTGTTTCTGATCTACTGCCCTAAGTGTCCAAGTTTCAGCCCCATATAAAGCAATGCTCCAAATGTAGCATTTCACTAGTTTCTTCCTCAAATTTAAGTCCAATTTGCTGGTAAAAAGATTCTTCTTCTTGCTAAATGCAGCTTTTGCCATGGCAATCCTAGATTTAATTTCACAAGTACACCTTCCATCATCTGTTAACAAGCTACCCAAATATTTAAAACATTTCGCATTCTCCAGTTGTTTTTGGTCTATCTTTATTGTGACTGGGGTTGGTTGTCTCGAAATTGTCATTACTTTTGGTTTTTCCACATTCATTTCAATGCCATAGCACCTTCCAATTTCGATTAGTCTATCAATCATACACTGTAGCACAGTTTCTTCCTTAGCCATTAACACAAGGTCATCTGCATATTTCAGTTTGAATAATTTGCCCCCCTAATTTGAAGTCTCCAAGCCCGTCCAGAGCTGCTTTGGTAAGGCATTCGCTGTAAAAGTTCAACAAAATTGGTGATAAACAGCATCCTTGTTGAACTCCTCTTCCAATTTTCACACTTCTAGCACTCTTTGCAGAAGTCACCTGTCTGTATGCGACAGATCGCAAGGAGTGTTTTGTTGTCAGAAAACTCCAGTGTGGTCTCAACTCAATGGAGACCTGGTGTGAGCGGTGGAATATAAAAATTAACGAAGAAAAGACTAAGGGGATCTACTTCTTTCGTAGTCATCGACCGCTTGAGTCTTGTCTTACGTTAAATGCAAGAAATATTCAATTTGTAAATAGCGTAAAATATCTCGGTGTAATCGTCAATAAGAAAGTTGCATGGAGATTGCATATAAAAATGATCGAAGCCAAGGCCTTCAGAACATTCATTATAGTATATTACCTATTCAAAAGTGAGCGATTGAGCGCTAACATTAAACTGACCCTCCACAAAGCTCTCATTAGATCTGTAATGACTTAAGCTAGTCCCGCCTGGGAGTTCGCGGCAGATACCCATTTAATCTAACAAGGTTCTCCACACCATTGGCAATTTTCCAAGGAGCACACGCGGTTCGCGATTTATATATGGCTTTCAAAATTCTGTATGTGTATGATTATTTAATAAGATTATGCTAGCAACAAGCAGAAGTCATACAAATCATGATACTGAAAATGTTCGCAACATTGGAAAAGGTGAAACCCGGCACAGACTATATAAGAGGCTTAAACTTGGAGGCAGTCAAGCATACGAGCATTCAAGTGCCTTGACTGCCATTGTAGAGGAAGGTACCAGAAATGGGGCATAATCTGCTGTACTGAGCCTGGACTGACAGAGGTCTTGTATAGTATATTGTACATAGGATTAGCCGGCCTACCCGCCACTAGCAACGGCCAGCTCACTACTCACTACTGCAAGAGCTTCAGCCGGCATTCCACTGGCTCACAATCTCCAGCTCCAGCCTGCTACGAGGAAGAACGCCGAAAATAACGCTGGCTGACCCGCTGCGACGAGAGCTTCACCCGGCATTCAGTAGATGTGCCCAGCTTCCGATAAACGGCCCTTTACGGGGACAACTTCGCCATCACCAACTCAGGCTAGTCCGCTGTGAAGGGAGTTTTCGCCAGCATTACTAAGGTACGCTCTGCTTCACTGATCGTCTGTAATATTCATTCTAACAGCAATAAGCATTTGTAATAGTTTTATGTGGTTCTCTCTTCGAGCATTGACATCCCACAATTCTCTATCAAGCGCCCAAAGGGCGGCGCCATAGTTCAAGTGGTTAGTCGCTGGCTTCCCACCGCGGCGGCCCGGGTTTGATCCCGGGTCTGGTCAAGTGGGATTTGTGGTGGACAAAGTGGCGCTGGGTCAGGTTTTCTCCGGGTACTTCAGTTTCCCCTGCCAATCTTCATTCCACCAAATTTTCCATCATCATAATCTCCCGGGGCATGCTACAATAGACCAATCAGTGGCCACCGTGTCAAGTGGACCCAGTTGACTCCACCCCCCACTAAGCGAATTTAACTAATCACGCGTCCAAGTACGATGGCCATTCAGAAAGTACCCTGCATTTATTTAGGCAACTAATGCAGGGGGGGGGAGAGCCCGAGCATGAGAGGTAGCGTCACATGACTCACTGTCTTGTAAATCATCACGTAAGTGCTCACCTAGTGTTTGTTCTTGTCTCTACATAGTTATGATATGTTCTGCGATTGATAATTCCGCCAGCTGAGAAAAAGTGCATTCCTGTGTTTCTGTATGCTCCTTATTCTCAGATCTGTAAACCTGTTATTTGTCAAAGACTGCATATTGAAAGATATTCATACAGGAACATTATCTTAACTTTCTGACTGCAAAAGAATAAGCAAGCTTACAGCCATAACAGATAAACATTTCAAGGAATTTCAGTTAGAACAAAACAAATAAAAGAATAATGTATATAAATACTAACACAGGGAAACTGTCTACAGCTGAAAGAACAATGTTAGAAGCCAAGGTTGTTACTACTATGTGCTGTTACTTTCTTATCACCAAAAGTGGTAAAACCAGACTCCATATTTCACTTCAAACCTGACAGAATATTTTGTGGAAGCATACAAAAAAAAACAGATAACATATAACACTGCTTATACTTATGAAAAGATGCAAATTTACTTCAACAAGTAAGTCTTGTCCTTACTTGAATTTTCTTATACATGAAAGTACCTGTACTGGCTTACAGAATAAGACAGCACACTGAAGAGAGCATGTTTGTGCCTCGATGGGGTTTGTTACTGTTTACAGCAGTAATTTTATTAATAGTAGTAATCACAACAACAGTAGTGCTTTTTAATGATGACAATACCAAACCAAGTAAGTTATAAAATTTACACAATTGCTGCAAACTGTGGTCTACATAACTGACAGATCCATCTAAATCAAGAGATGGTGCAGAATTGAATCTGGTTAATGTTTTTGAAATTTATAATTTCTTATTTTTAAAAGTAATATGACTCAACTTTAAAAGGAAATACGTACTGACAATTTTAACTGCATAAATATACTTCTTTAACAGAAAACTATGGAGTGGTTAATGGAGAACTGAATATTATGAATGCTAAAAATAAATATTATTCTGTTGTCATGAGTAAATGAATGTTTTATGGAGAACAGAGCTTTGATTCTTGTCTACATCACTATGTCAGCATTAAAGAAACATAATTATTTGCTTTTCCTACACACAAGGTGGTCCCAAAAGTAAAAAAATCCAGTAATCCTGAAGGTAGACTAGATTTTGAAATCCCTTTATAGACTATGTTTGTTTATTCACTTTACCAGGAAGCATCAATTGCAGTCTAGAAGGAAAATAGATGTTTGTACTGAAAATCTATTCAGAATCTCAAAGAACTTTTACATAAAATCCATTTGCCATGAATAAAAGGTAAGTGTACAGTTGCTTCTGTGCTTAATTAGGCATCATGCCATGAAAGTGTATGGGGGAGTGGGCATTTAGATCCGCTATATTCTTAACCTCACCAATAAATGGATGTGAATGGTCAGCATCACACCCAGACTGCCTCTCCTCTGGGGAAGGAGCCCCAGTACATACTGGACAGTAGACTGTGTTGGCCACAGAGCCCAGTCTTGATGCTGTGGAGAAAAGAACAGTCTCTTGCCCCCACAAAAACTTGAATCCCAATTCCTCTGTTATCCACCGATTAAGCTATTATGGGCGAAATATTTTGTGAAAGGCTTATTACCAGCTTTGTGAAATTTGGGTTCTCATGAAAGTGACTGATTATGAACATTGCTGTCTTCTAGGATGTGGGATGAAATTTTGGATGAATGTGTATTTAGGGCAGACATCACATTCCTCCAAAACTTTCTTAATGATCTCTCAAACTGCATGGCATCACTTCTCAGAAGGCAGTAATCATCATTAGCAGCTCTGATCTTACAGAGGTCCAAAAAAGTAGCAGTAAATGTTTGAACTTCTGTAGAATAAACTCTTGAATATCAACATGATAGAGCTCTTTTTTGCTAAATCCAGGCAACCATCCACATATCATATGCTCATTTGTACTTAAGCAATTGTACACTACATAATTTTCTTCTGAAACAAAATGTCACTTGTAACATACTATATACACGTAGATAAGTCAGGGAATTTTGACACGTGAACAAAAAATTTTGTTAATTTTTGAACTGCCATCCCTAACTAACTCTATAGAGATAGGTCCTTCTCAAGAAGCCACCAGTTGTGCAGCTACCCATGAACTTCCTAACGTTTCATGAAACTCAGAGCCCTCCCCTGGTTCCTATTCTGAGCCGGATCAATCCAGTCCATACCATCCCATATGATCTCTCTAAGATCAATTTTAATATTAGCCACCCACCTACGTGTTAGTCTTGCTAGTGGTCTCTTTCCTTCTGGTTTTCCCACCAGTAGTCTACATGCAGTCCTCTTCATCCCCATTCGTACTACATGCCCTACCCATGTTATCCTGCTTGACTTAATCATTGTAATTACATTTGGTGAAGAGTACAAGTTAAAAAGCTCCTAATTATGCAGTTTTCTCCAACCCCCTGTTCAGCCAAAATATTCTCAACAACTCATTCTCAAACACACTTCTTTCTTAATGTCAGAGACAAAGTTTCACACCCACAGAGAACCACAGGCAAAATTTTAGTTTTGAATATCCTAATCTTTACATTTTTAGACAGCAGACAAAAAGACAGAAGATTCTGGACTGAATGGTAGCAAGCATTACCTAAATTCAATCTCCTCTTACTTTCCTCCTGAATCAGATTTTAGTGTTTCTGTCATATTTGAACTGTGCCATATTTTCAAAGGATCTGTTAGCTATCTTCATGTCATGATTTTGCCTTACATTCAGGTGATGAGACAGCAACATATGCTAAGTTTTCTTTGTGTTTACTTGTAAACCAACCTCCTTGTTAGCATCAATTAAAGTTTCTGTGTTTTTCTGTATGGTATCTTTTATCTCCTAATAGATTTACATCATCAGCATAGACCAGCAGTTGATGTGTCCCATTTAATTTCAGTCCCACCTGGTTTCCTTGGACCTTCATAATGGCATATACTAAAACAAAGTTGAAACGCAGTAGCAATAAAGCATCTCCTTGTTATAGACCATTTTGGATAGGAATCTTATCAGACAAATGTTTACTTGTACAGTCTTTACTATAGGTTTCATTTATACACATTTTATTAAGCCTAACTAGTTTCATGGGTACCCCAAACTCTATGAGAATATTGTACAATACTTCCTCCAAACTGAATCATAGGCTTTCTTTACACCTATGAATAACTGTTGTACTGTCTCACTGTACTCCCATTTTTTCTCCATTATCTGACAAACGCAAGAGATGTGATCAATAGTTTATCTGTTATGTCAAAACCAACACTGCTAATCCCCAATAATTTCATCTATATATGGACTTAACCCTGAGACAAGGATATTGGATAAAATTTTGTATGACGTTGATACCAGTTATATCACATGATAATCTTCAAGGAATGCATCCTGTTGTGTATATACTAAACGTTTTGTATCCATTACAACACAATAACTCTCAATACTCTCATTCATATTAAATGTGTATAGTGAGTTTATTGATCTTTATGGTATAACTTGTTATATGTTTTGGCTTATTAAAAAGCCATCATCAGGCAATATACACTAATAGTAATTATGTATTGCATTATGTATGTAGCAAGTTACTTGTATACCATCAAGATCAGTAAACTCACTATACACACTTAATGTAAATGAGAGCATTGAGAGTTATTGTGTTGTGACAGATAAAAAACATTTGGTATATCCCACGATAATTACTACACTCAGTTTTATCACCATTCTCATAAACTGGTACAATAATACGACTCCTATGTCCCTAATCTTACTGAAATAATAGTTACACTGCTGATGCTATTAAATTCATTTGTTTACATTCATTTCATCCTCTCATAAAGAACTGCTCATTTATAAATACTGGATTAGTTGTGCTACTGTCTGAAATCATTGCCCCTTTCCTTATGATTTTCTTAAGGGATGCTGATTTATTTTCACCACCTTAAAATTATTTGCTGAAATGTATTTTTTAATGCATAAAAATTTAAAATGGAACATAAAATTTGAGGTTTTATATGTTCTCCAGATATAAGGGAAGGTGGGGGAAATAACAGGGAATGATACCAAAATGTTGCATTCCCTGTTGTGTGTTATGATAATTTTACTTCTGGCATAACTTCTTAAGTTTCTATAAGGAGTACAATATTTTACCTGGGGAAGGGAAAGGAGGGGGGGAAACATTCCTTCCTTTACTCTTAGGCTCTGCAGACAATGATAGTATCATATTACAATTTTAGTCTAGGCAAATATATTATATCTACTTTCTTGCAGTCAGTGAAAGGGCGAACAGACAACACTGCCAAATGAAGTTCGTCTTCATTTCTAAACTAAAACAACTGATCTAACTTAGAAATGCAATCTGGTTTAGAATTTTCAGAAGAAAGAGATGTACAGAAGAAGCAACTCCATGGTCTACATACACCAATTAACTCAAAGGATGTGACATCACCATCACTCTTGTCATCTTCATTGTCATCATCATTGTCATCATCCCTAGCGACTACTATGCTTCAGAACATGTCCACTCCAGGTTAGTAATATAAAATAAAAACAAGACATATACCCAATATATGAAGTAGGTATGCCTTTGTATGACGTACAAAGTACATATATCTGACCATTCATTTATGTAGTTCAACAAATATTACTTTCTTTATGCAATGTGAACAAAATATGCACAATTCAGTTCAATATACAATCATTTTTCAATAGATTTTGACACAAATAACAAAGATAACATATAAGAAAACTGTTTACTTGTTTGTCTCATATCCAGCATCTTTAAAGCACACAATTAAACCTATTGTAGTGGTTACCTTTACATTTATGCCCCCTTTGGGTGGCACTGAAAGGGTGATTCATTTATGCATGACATCGTATGTTGTCTAGGTACTCAAGCGAATTGAATGCACACATTGTAATAATCACACAACAGAAGTGTCATATACTGAGCTTCATCAAAATATATGAAACTACTCAAGAGATCTGTAAGTTCGTTTAGACCTTTAACATGTCGACTGCCATAGCGGACAGCAGTGTCTGTTGCAGAACAGTTCCATTACTGTCACGGAGATCACCTGTGTCCACTCTCACATGTTTGTGCTTGACTGCATTCCACTGCCTCATGTGCAACAGCTGAACACATCTTTTATGCTTATGTGTCTGCTATGGACTGCAGACATCTCATGCAAACACTGTTTTCTGGGATTTTTTCATAGTTGATTAACAATGGTGTAAGTACCTTAAGAATGCCATTATTATATAACTATTATTAGAACAAACTTGAGATAAATACCAAAACAATGAATGTGAATATTTAGTGAAAGCTATAATAATTCAATCTCCCTCTTGTTGAAATATATACTTACCATTTTACAATAGAGTTATGATGCTATTATTTCATTCACTTCCATTTATTTGTGATTTTTTTTAATGCTAGTGCAGTGGGACTAAGTCCCTTGTACTGCACCCACTTCTGGCCTATTGTACCAGCCCCGGATGATAGGTGAGGGTGATTGTGGAGCAATTAGTGGAATGAAGATTGGCAGGGGAATCCGAAGTACTTGGAGAAAACCTGCCCCAGCGCCACTTTGTCCACTACAAATCCCACTTGACCAGACCCAGGATCAAAACTGGGCCACCGCGGTGGGAAGCCAGCTTGAGCTATGGTGCAGCCACTTTATTCACGATTACTAGACATGAATACAGATAATCAGAAGTATGTTTTAACAAAGATGTCACTGCACTTCTTCAAAAACTTGAAATATTTCAAATATTTACTGTATTTTATTTCAAAGCAATGTCTACTTATAATGAAATATACTGTAGCGGTCCAAACACAGTCACTGGTGCTGGCTCTAATAAAAATTTCCCCATTGCACAAGTATTAGTATTTTGTAAAGTAAAACATACAATTATTTACGACTAATCTAAAATGAAACGTCAATTTTGGCCTGAAAAGAAAAGTATCAAAATTCAGTGTGGCAGTCAACATGTTAAGGTTAAATTATTGAAACTTTTATACCACAATTCTCGTACAAAAGAAGTGCTGTACTTCATATTTCATTCATATCAGTTAAAAGTTCAAAAGAATGTGTAAAAATTAAATTAGGCCCTTAAAATGAACCAAACTAAACCAAAATCAAAACAATTTGACAAAAGTTGGAGCAGTTGAACTTCAACAAAATTAGTTGTGTAGTTTTGGGTACTGGGGGCACACGGTAGCAAAGTTGGTTGAGGGGCTATGCTACAATCCAGAAGGTCGTGGGTTCAAGTCCCGATGAAGTCATTGGATTTTTTCAATTGACCTAATCCTTCCAGCTGCACTATGGCCCTGGGGTCGACTCAGCCTCTAACAGAAATGAGTATTAGGAATTAATTAAATAATTTTCCTGGGGAGTAAAGCATGGCTGGCACATAAGGCAGACAACCTTACTGCCATATTTGAGCCGATTGTCTAGATAATGTGGGACCCTCAACGTCTCACAACCTTATGGGCTTTCACGGCCTGGTACAGGGATAGCTTTACTTTTTTTTATATATAGTGTTGGATACTATCAGATATGCAGATAGTGAAAAATGATAAATCTGACAGTTTAAAATTATTTTTTAAATATCCTACACTGGAAACTACCATGCCCAGCATTTCTGCTACACTTCTAGCTACATAAACCACTAAATAGCAGATCTTAACAGATCCACATAATTATTACAAAACATCAATATTTTTTATGACATCTATCCTCTTTTTTCATAAATTTAGATAGAAAAGGTACAGAGAAAATTTATGTTAGCATAATTACCTTACGTGAATTACTATTTCTGAGACTGTTTCCAAAAATGATATTCTGGTAAGAGCCACAGTAAAATATAAAATTGAGGTTTATAATCTATCTAATAAAGTCCATACTCATGTCAGTTTGTTCTCCATTTCAGAGGGAGGAGAGGAGCCTGCAAAAGTAATCCCACAACAGAACTTGAATTTCCAAAAACTGCTAGCTGGAAATTATATCCTTGACATATTATCATTATTAAAACATAAAATAAATGACAGAACAATCTGTAATGCATGTCTTTTACTGTCTGGTGTTCTGATACAGTATGGGAAAAACTACACACCACAGGATCTTCGTGAACTTTTATGTACAATTTGTGTTGATTTCCAAATTCAAAATGAAGAAGTATGTGTTGGTCTTATTGACATATATCTGGTAATTGCCTTCATTTAATAGAATAAAATATAATTTGTCAAATGGCTTAATATAATCATACCAGTATGAAAAATATTAATTTAGACATCTAAAACAATTTTGAGGTTATGTCACACTTCAAAGAAGCAACAAGACTAGATCTGAGACACACCCAGCATCTTATCCAGTAGGTACCACGGCTTTCTCTCCAGAGATGAAGTACCTTGAATGTGATGCTGACACGTCACCTCCATTTACTGCCAAAGGTTAAGAAAAAGGCTGGAGGTATATCTCCACAAGAATGCCAAGGTACACAGTGGGCTGTGGTGCCAAACAAGGCTTTACAAGCCTCCAAAGATGGAAAAATTTAAAGAAAATTTGGTATCAAAACCTCTTTGCACACTAATGAAATCCATCTTGAAATAGGAATAACAATGGATATACATAAAATGTGTCACACAGAGATATAATCAAGACAGTAGTCCAGTTAATGACTTTCACTAGCAACACATGATAAATCTATGTCACTCAAAGTACAACTTAATGTAAATTCATTATGTAAAATTTCATCAGAATCAGTCTCCAGGCAAATGCCAAGAGTGTGACTTCATACAGTCATGTGTGGTCCACGCTAATTGGCTAGCACTGTAGTAGGCTCCCACACATGTTTACCTCCTTCTGCGTGACCATGTTCAAGATCACTTTCCCATCCCCATGGAAGTAAACAATGCCATTAAACACAAAAGAGCTGAGTTATAGACCTAATATGTGCATACTTTGTCTCTTGAGGTGTAATACATACAGTATGGTAGAAGTTCACTGGTCAATTCCTACCAGACTACATGGCGTTACATGATGGAAAATATTACTCTTCATAGCCAATGCGGTGAGAAACGTCAATCCAGTATATTCACAGAAAAACAGGCAGACACACATGCTGAAGAGAGTAATAGCAATTCAAAACATAACAAAATGACGAAAGTATTTCTACAGCAAAGAGTTCTAAACAAATTTGAAAAATAGTGAAGTTCAGTACAAAAATTACATAGAATACCCATCAACAACCTTGCATATTTAAAATTACTTTGCAGACTTCAACATTTTTATCTTGTTCTTAACTGATACATGTTACAGGACACCGTAATCTACATACTCAGCAACACAAAAGGACTGACCTCTAGCCGAATCTGTGGAATCATATTTCAAGAATATGGGTGTTCTCAAGATGATGAAAATCTTGAATGGACTGTGGATGTAGATTTTGGATCCAAACCAAAATCCAACAGGAATTATAACCGGATAGACGTAAAAGTAAGTATGCAAATAAAGTTGTCCCTGTGCTTAACTAATTAAGCACTGTGTCGTGCAGGTGTATGGGGAGTGGATGTTTAGATCCACATTTTCTTGACCTTGGCACTAGTTGGAGGTGAGTGGTCAGCTTCACACCCCTGCTGCTTTACCCTGGGGAAAGAGTCCCTGGTACCCATTGGATAGGAGGCTGGGTGAGCCCCAGAGCTATGGTCTGGATGACAAGAAAATTCTTGACCCTACCAGGACTCAAACTCCAACTCCTTATTCATCCATCCTGTAGCCAGTTGCTATACCAACTAAGCTATCCCGGCAAAGTACAGACAGTTTAATCACCATTATCTTCATGGATTAGGATGTTTAGCTGGTAGCCCTAAGGAACCTTCTGTAATTTCTCTCTTGTTGTTACAAACATTTTGTCATGAGTTACTGACTACACACAAGGTTTGGTTGGTAATTGGATTTACTGAACTCTTATAAATCTGAACTATAAATAATAAAAGTGCTCTCACTATTTCACACACTTGACTACTAAGTACAGCAAATAGTATGTCTTCTTCTGTTATAGTCATTAGTCATTGCTCAGTTACAGTTCCAACAATGAAGATTCTTCTGCTCTCGCCCATCCATGGTTGCTAGTTGAATACCACCTCACAACTCATCTTCAACTGTCAATTCTCAACTCACCCCTAACTCAGTCGGCTGGTTAAATTGCTATTGGCCCTCTCCAGCATGGTCATTCTTGGTTACAGGTCCTGGAGGACTAATGACCATATCTTATTGTAAATAACTCAAACTCAAATTTGAAGTTACTTTACGACCAGCGGTTTACTGCCAATCAATTAGTCTTGGCACCAAGCCCCTTGAGACTTATGACAAGAGATTTTTTTTCAACTGAACCTTTGCTGTCATAGTCCTTATGTAACATCATCTCTGATAAGAAGATGGGTTTGTCTCTTATGAATATGATTGGCCTTACATCAAGTGTGTGACTAATGTGAGGTCAAAGTCAGAGTCATTTCATGACTGGCAGTTTACCACACATCAGTTCGTCCTGGTACCAAGCCCTTTGAGCCTCATGAGAGGGTTCTTTTTTCAACTGAGCCCTTGTGGTCATAGTCCTTGTGTGGCCTTTCATGAAGTGTATATATTGCACATAGAGCATGTTATTGAAAATGCATAGCAACTGCTCCTTGTTTACTGATGTCATGGTCTGTTTACTGGCCAGTGTGTAGCAACAGCCCCTTGTTTAATGACATCATCGAGTGTTTACTGTTTCATTGCCTAGCAACGGCTGTCTAGTTTGGCTTTCATGTCATAATATTTTGGAACCTCTGTAATTTTGGATTATGTGAGACAAAACCCCTTGCTGAAGCCTACATTATAACCTGAACAACTATTTACTCAATTTTTTGATCAGTAATTCTACTTTTATTTTAAACAGGGCATTTTCCTCCAAAAATGACATTGCATGTCTTGCTGGAGATTTGTTATGGCACTGAGCAGTTGTGTTGGTCATTACTGGTGGATTTTATCAATAGCTGATATAGTGTTAAAGACTGAGTGAAATTCACATTCTAAATTAGTAATAACATATGTTTACAATATGACAGTCCTCATTTAATCAACAAACTCTTTAAAACCTGGTATCTGCCTAATGAGAGTATCTACAGTGGTATGACTTATGGGATGTTCTGAGCAGATAATGTAGATTAATTCTGTATTTTCTATTTTACATCCAGTTCTGTCCACAGTAGACTTATCAGTAGGCAGAAGCTGAATTTCAAAGAAAATAAAATACATTCAAAGCCAGTGGTAGTACATGTAGAAAATTATATTGTTATAAATAAAAAATGGTAGACTGCATATACTGGCCTCAGGAAATTTCCTGTATTAGTAAATGCTTATGCTAAGTGAAGATATGTTGAAATCTGGGAAATATGTTTGTGTTCAAGAAATATTTACACATTTTCAGAATGCTGAGGTTCTGACCATCATCCAAATAACAGACATCCACTATGATCCCATGTACATGCCAAATGGGAATGCAGAATGTGGTGAACCAATGTGCTGTAGACGCACTCAAGGCAAACCAGGAAATCCTGACACAGCAGCTGGATATTGGGGCGACTATAGGAGCTGTGACATACCATGGCAAGCTGTTCAAAATACACTACATCAAATTAAGGGAAATCATGAGGTAAAAACTGACACTGCAATTGCATTGCTTTTTGCACACTGCAATACCACCTCAGCATACTTCAACTACCATGTACTGTTGCCATCTTGTGTGCCAATTCATAAGTACATACATAATAACAGAACAGCAAGTGTAGCCTTTTATCTGTACATGGATTCCTACCTTAACAGCTTAACCCAAAACATGTTATACAAAAATGTTCATCGGTGCTGCTTTAAGCGACACAGAAATGGGTTAAATGAAACCTCGTATCATAGGATGGATCTGGATATGCCAATCCTTTTACAGTGTGATTTACAACTTTCACACTGTTTTAGTATTTCATGTCCCTCTCCCAAAAGAACATCGTTGTTTAGTAACTGGGACAATTCAAAAAGACAATTCATGCCAGTCATTCTCCTCCTTGCATATCACACAGCTCACACTCCTAAGATTCTGGTTCTAGAATGTACTGATTTCAGAATCTTCATAAATGATGACATTAATGACTTCAATTAAAGAAATGTATAATTCTGGCTTCTGGGAATAAGTCATGTGGGAACATCCCACATTATCATGCATTTCTGCAACGCTCGCTCTTCACATCACTTTTCACCATCACACGCGCTAACCAATCAGATTGCCTCAAACGTTCGCATTTATACGGCACCTCCTGCTAGCCAGCATCTATGTCATTACGCGCGCTAGCCAATCAATTCTTCCTCCTCAATTTCAAGTTTCGCTCCGCCCCACTGAGCAGTGTATAAAAAGGGGCAGCTCCAACGCCGAGTATGCAGGTCATCATCAGTCTACGAGCTAGCCACACCAAGCAACATCAGCCAGCAGGCTTCGTCGCCAGCGCTCGGTCTACAGAGGCATCGGCGCTTCACTGCGCCAGGCATGACTGCCACGGCTGTCTGCCGGTCGCACCCGACTCACTGGGCAACTAGGCCGCACGGACTCACCAGTAGTCATACCTGACACACTGGGCAACTGGCGTAGCTACCGCCTCTCCGCTCCAGCGACCGCGCTCAACGACTAGCCTTTCACCAGCCATTCACCGTAACTAGCCTTTCTCCTTACCGGCGCGCGCCGCGCTACCTCTCTGATCAAGCATCTCAGCAACCACGGTCCTTTTCAGGGCCAACAAACTGTTCCGAAGAAGTGGGTTGTCATCGGAGTAATGACAAGACTACACATTAAGAGCCCCACAGTCACACTGAATGTTGAAAATCTTCCAACATTCTGGCAAACACTGCAGTAGCCACAATCATGGAGGATCATACTACTCACCAGCTCATAAGAGACCCATCATAAACACTTCATATAGAATTTGTAAGATATGTATTACTCTGAAGGCAAATATCATTCCAATTAGAATAGGTATTAGAATGAAGATTATATTATGTGCATTACAGATTTAATCAGCTGACTGTTCCTACAATTACTTACTTACTTATGGAGCTCAGGCCTTCTTGAGGAGAAGTCAAATCTGCAGCTGCTCAAGAATTTCCCAGCATTTTATGGAACCCAAAGATTCATTACCATATTCCTATCCCTATCCTGAGCCAGATCAATCCAATCCATACCATCCCATCCTATCTCTAAGATCCATTTCAATATTGTCCACCCACCTATGCCTTGGTCTTCCCAGTGGTCTCTTTCCTTCTGGCTTTCCCACCAATATCCTATATGCATTCCTCTTCTCCCCTGTTTGTGCTAAATGCCCTGCCCACCTCATCCTCCTTGACTTGATCATTCTAATTATACTGATCCTACAATTACACATATTAAAATAGTAGTTAATGTAAATATATTAATTTTTATTAGACATGAAATTAATATTATCAGTGTGGATTCTGTGTCATCAATTTGGGTATACTGGAATTTTAATTGCTATTTTTTGGGTTATTATTTTATTTATAACCTGTGACAAGTCCAATAAGGCCTCTGGATTACATATCGAGTCAATTATCCAAACCAACGGCTATTCTCTCCAGGAAATCAACAGGGCTACCAAGGTCAGATCAATCAACAAGAATCCTGAAGACAGACTACATGGCATATAGACCATGCAGCCAAGGCTCTAATGATAGCATCTCTAGGCTACTGAAAGAGAAGGGCATTATTCAACCCAGAAATCATTAACAAATTGGCATCACACTTCAGATCCACTAAGAACAGACAGCCCAACTGAAAAATCAGGAATATAAGACCTATTGCTCATGTGGTAGGAAGTACATCAGCCAAATGAGCTGATACATCTCCACCACAGTATCTGAATGCACCATACACCAGACTGGAGGACCATTGATCGTCACTCGATGAACACCCCACATACACAAAACAATCCATCATCTTTCACAGAACATAGGTTGCAGACAACATCTGGACCTACTGTCCCTGCATCATCAGGGTTGCTATTGAAATAGCACAATCAATTACTTCAACCTGAAGATGGGTACTAACTAACTAAGCCTGATTCCACCTCTTTCCCTCCAAAACTGGCACTCAACCACCTTAATCAAACTCAAACCCCGAACTTCACTTGTGGGTGACAGAATGTTTCAAGACCTCTTCTCCTATCCACATGGCCACTAAAATCTTGTTTAGCACCTCTCCTAGGCTCTTGGTGGATACAACACACCTTAACATCTTCTTTCTTAATTATATAGTCAACAGAAAGCTTTTTCATCACCTGTTTCCATATCCACAAGGTTGGTAAAACTGCTTCCATCACCTCACCTCCCATCCTGATCCACCCATCCCCATTTCCTTCTACCACAGCCATTCTCCATTTCTGAAATGAAGAAAAAATGTTGAAATATAAATGTAATGTTGTCCTTGTGTTTAATTGTGATATTATGAAGATGTATGGGGAGTGGAGGTATACACGTAATTCCATGCATTATTACTCTTGGCATAAGATGGAGGGCTGCTTTATGCCCAGGGAAAGATTTCCAAGTTCCCATTGGATAGGAGGCTGGGTGGGCCCCATATTCGGTCTAGATGCTGTGGAAAACAAATAAATCTCTTGTCCCTGCTGTGAATCAAACTGTAATATGTTGGTCAAGCAGCCCATAGGTAATTGCTATATTAACTGAGCTCTCCTGTCTCTTTGGAAATAAAATTGTCCTTCAACCCATATACTTCTGAAAAGATGTATAATGAACATGTAATATACATAAATGTTAGACTGCAATAAGTATTATGCATAATATGAATAATGTCTGAGGTGCTTAATGTAAAACTTAGTAACAAATGAGAAAGGAAACAATACTTTCTGGCCCATATATATGAATATGAAACACACTTGCAGTTCTTACACAAGAAATGTTTATCAGAGACTGATCTGAAAGTAGCCACTATTTTTATTATTTTTGCATTTCTTTACAGAAAATTGATTACATCTACATGACTGGAGATATTGTGGACCATGGAATATGGGATACAAGTATTAAAAAAAACACTGAATCAATAAAGAATTTACTCACAGTATTAAAAACAGAGTTTCCTAATACACCAGTATATCCAGTTCTGGGAAATCATGAATCATCTCCTGTAAACTTGTAAGAGTTCTTTGCATTGATGTGTATTTAATTTGGAGTATTTATAATATTCAGCACAGAAACAAGATGTTCTTTGAAAACTTATGATATTTATTTTCTTTCACATGCTTTAATCTATAGCAGAACTATAATTCAATAATTGTAAAATTTAATAATCCAGCTCTGAGTATTTGTCTGATAAAATATTTTGGAGAGTGAATCAATATCTCAGATATATTGCATTGCGGATGATGAGGCTGAGACAAACATGTCTTAGCCACAATATCGCATGTTCAGGCATGTTAAAGAGTTCTTCTTAGTGCTCCCATCATTAATGGTCAGCCTGTAACTTAAGCGTGTTTATGTCATATGCTGATTTAAAAGTATTCAGTAGTGCAGAATAATTCACCTGCACTATATTTTATCCTGTTTTGCAGGAATCATTTCAGCATTTTATTTGAGACTTGCAAGCTCGTATTTTCTTACTTAATTATTAAAGGCCATGCCATAGCTCAAGCGGTTAATCGCTGGCTTCCCACCGCAGCGGCCCGGGGTCTGGTCAAGTGGGATTTGTGGTGGACAAAGTGACACTGGGGCAGATTTTCTCCAAGTACCAGTTTCCCCTGCCAATCCTCATTCCACAAACTGCTCCACAATCACCCTCACCTATCATCTGGGGTTGGCAGAATAGGCCTGAAGTGGCCGCAGTACAAGGGACTTAGTCCCACCCCACTAGCATAAAAAGAAAATACTTAATTATTAGCCTCAATAAACTTAGCTTTATTCATTCTGGTCCGTCACACTAGTAAACTAAATTACAGAATAATTGATAACACCGTCCAGTGTGATTCAATCTGTAGACACTCATCACCGTTATATGTTTTGGTCAGTTATGATCATCTTCAAAAGGCATATGATAAACATGTTTAGGAACTACTATGAGTATTATTGTATACGGCATAAAAAATCCAAATAATTGTAAATAACGTTTTATATAACTTCTAAACATGTATTATGAGCTTTGTAACAGTAGTTCCTAAACCTGTTGACCATATGCCTTCTGAAGCTGAGCAGCTGACCAAAACATGTAAGGGCAATGAGTGTCTACAGATTGAAACATTGAATCACACTGGTGTCATCAATTAATCTACAATTTAGATTATTAGCCAATGACTAGGCAGAATAATGGCAGAGGGGCCACTTCAAAGTCTACCAAACAGCTCTTCTTTCCCAATACAATGGTTATAATACCCTGATTTGGCTGTGAAAGCTTCATTTTACACATACGTCACTAACTGCAAGTTTTGGATGACAATTAGGTGGAAGAGACCAGGAAAGACACATCAGTATCATTTCCATCTCCTACCAGATTCATTACTTGCATAAATAAACAACTCCTGATCATCCTAAGTGCCTCAACGGCACATAAATGCAGACAGATCTGCTAGCTAGAGCCACTAAAGCTTTATGTTGACAAAGAGAATGCACTGTCTGTACAACAGTCACAGCCAGGCAGAAAATCAAGGTGGATTTCCAAAATATAACTCATTTATTAATACAAATCAAAAGACAAACAGAGACAAGAAAGTTCTTGGAAGAACTGATGGCCTGCTTTCCTTGATACAACACAGACAACACAGAAAATGAAGTGTGCAACAATTCTTCTACTGTTGCATATGTTAGGCTGTATCGAGCCAATGCTTAGCAATGAGAGGGGTACACATAGAGAGACACGGTCTGATGGGAGGAATTTATGAAGTACACTTTTGAGATGGGCTAAGGTGCCATGATACATGTACCAAGTTTCATAAAGTTTCGTTCAAGCACTCAAAAGTTAATTGGGGGAGATACACAGACATACAGCATGGAGACTGCATAAGCCTACCTTCATTTTTTTCAAAACAAGGAAAGTAGGCTAATGAGTGAATACAAAAGTAACAATTACTTAGCAAAAGAAGAAACCTAATGGCGACATACAGTGTCTGTACAGAGTGAGGAAAATCAACACAAACTTGTCCCTTGGTGGCTGTAGTGATTGGCTGCCTGTTGGGGAGAAAGGACCCCAAGGAAAAGAATGTCAAAACTATTTTGAGACAGAAAGCCAAACTAGAATTTAAGTATGTCTTCCCAGTTCACAGGTCTGTCAGACAATGACCTCCATTGAATACAGAGTGAACCTCTTCAAAAGGAAAGACTGAACCAGGAGAAAGGGGCGGGGAGGAGGATGCATGCACAGTGAAATGTGATGTACACGGAGTTTGCAGGCACAGGGTGTTCTACAATATGTTCCCTACACATGGCACAAGAGTACCATTTAGCTGCAGGTTCATACTCCACCTGAGGCATGGCTGTTTGTAACAGTATGCAATTATTCCTCAATTTACACAATAGTTTCATTCCCAAGAGTAGTTACACAACTCAAAACGTTTGTCTGCTTTAGTTCTACTGCCTCCAAGCACATTAATCATCTTTTGGAAAAATAATTTCGTTAATTAAATTAAGTTAAAAACATGTTATGAAATTACATTAATGGCTTAAGCTTGATTATTTCACGGGATGAGCTAAATCATTGACATGCAAAAAGTCTATTAGCAACAGGACATTTAATAACCAATCATGCATGCAATCTAATCTGAGAGAATGCAGGTGAGTAGCCAGAGCATGTGGCTAAAAACTAAGGACCAGAAAGTAATTTTGCTGTTTCTAATATTCTGTTACAGGTTTGCACCACATAATATTGACAACAAGAAAGTTTCAACAAATTGGTTATATGAACTGTCAGCAGAACTGTGGACTTATTGGCTGCCACCAGAAACCAAAGAAACTATTTTACAAGGAGGGTTCTATACTGTGCTAGTGCGGCCTGGATTTCGAATTATCGCCCTCAACAGCAACCTCGGCTATACTGCCAACTGGTAAATGGAAAGAAAATGTTACTGAAATGAACAGTTACATTCTCATCATAAATTATATATATTTGCCATAATTCAAGCCTTGATATTCTGATATACTGCACAGTCTGAGACAGACTTCCTTGACATTTTTTGGGTGATGGGCAACTAAGGGAAGCTTGTAATTTACAACAGGCACTATGAATCTGCTGCAAAAAAGAAAGATGTGAACTGAAATTATTGATTTACAAACAGCTTTCCACTTTAAAATACTGGTTCAGCATACTGTGTCATAAAGAGGGTAGTTAATAATAATCTCTTACTTCATCCTGAACCCCTCAATTACAACACCTGCAACCAAACAGGGAACACAGAACATGAGACATGATATACACTGAGAGTAAGAGGAACGACTCCCATAGTGGTGGAACTATGCGCGGTGTTAGAATTGGGACAGATAAGATAAATAATCTTAACAAGTTTTTAGTATATAAATATTTATTATAATTGATGAACATTTTTAAATACTTTTTAAATTTTACAATGACATAATGGCAAGCAATGAAATAGATTAACGTAAATGGAGCACCTGATGATGGCACTATAGTGCCGAAACATATTGTGAAATAACAAGTGAAATTGAGTGCACTAAAAGACAGACACTGCATACATATCATGGACGAAAATCAGTGCAACAGGACGCTAAAATACAACATTACCCTCAATTAAAGTAACAGCTAAACATAATCCAGAACTCCAGATTTGGTTCACACAGCAAGAATCACTAAGTGATTTGCAGTCATCAATGAGTAATTAATAAATTACTATAAAATATTTTAAAACTCTTGCAGGCTGTAAATATCCCTGCAAGAACACTTAAGATACCCATGTTCTATACTTACATATTCAGTACTCCTTTGAAAGTAATTCTGATTTTTGCCACTAATGAAGCATAGTGTCAAAACTCAGCACTATTTGAAATTTATTATAATAATCATTACTACAAAAACCAATCAGCAATTAAGCCTTCTCAGGTAACAAGCTGTGTTAGTGTGGAGTTGTTATCCAACATTTCTGAAACTGTCCCCATCATCAGAGGTTGATGTGATGAATGCTGTGCTTGCATATTGCATTTCTACCACAAAACTTGCTCTCAGCTATCCCACCACACACTGCTGAAGAAATGGAAGGCAGAGCCAGAGAGTGGTGTTCTGTCACAGAACGGACTGCTAGAAAAAAGTGGATAGGGTCGGGCAGTCAGTTATCACTGTCCAAGTTGCTTGTCATTCATCCTTCCTTACAGGTTTTAACAGTTCTCTCATGTTTTATCATGTTTGTGGCTTGAACCACAAATGGCTTACAGCAATGGTTCCCACACTCTTTTCTGCGCTCCATGGGAACCATCTCCAATGACAAATTTTGATTTTACAGAATTTTTCAGTAAGCAATATTCTGTCATTAAAGGAAACAGGAAAGTGCTTTAGTTGTGCAGTACACTGAGTTGACAATACCATACTGTACATATGAGAACTCTTATATCTGGTATGTGCTTCCCACACGATAGTGCAACAGTTAATACAAGAAGTATTTGCTATACATTGTTATGTCTACTGCAAAGTACAGGCATTTGGCGTGCTGGGGACAGTTTAAATTCTTGGAAACTGATAGCAGTTCTTCTATGGTCAAAGACTTCCACCATAACCGTTATTAGCCCATTGTCACATTGCAGAGATGTGAATTTGTTGTTTAAACCAACAGTTCAGTTGTGCTTGAGCTGCAGTAGTACTGACACAATAAAATTGTAAGGAATGCATAAGTAATGTATACTTTCCTTCCACTGCTTTCAAGTATATTTGTTGATTCAAGTTCCATCACTTGTGGCTTTTATATTTAACAACACAATTATCATGATGATTCAGTGGCTAGAAGAGGTTGTTTAAAGAGACAAAATCAAGCGTGTCTGCTGCTAGAACTGAAGTAGCAAGCAGATTTTTGGCTTCATCATCCCGCACCAACAGCTATGGTCCAGACACATTACACTTTGCACAGTGATACTTATATAGGTGCAGTAACAGTAAGAAGTGAAAGTACTGTAAATCTTACTTTTCTTTGGAATTTACAAGCACAGGTGATAAAAGTGCTCCTGATGCACAGTGTTATGTGTAACAATGTGTTATATCGTTGTTCTATGTTTCCTTTTGAAACCTCTCATCCAGAAGGTATAGCCAAAGACAAGTTTTTTCAAGTGGAAGCTTGAAGCATTGCAAACTAGTCAAAGACTGATAACCAAAGCTGCAAGAAAGACAATGAAAGTGCAACCCAGTTCTCATACAGGATGAGTTACCATATTGCACTTGCAGGATGAGCACAAAGAATTGCTGAAACTTTAAACCATATGTTGTTGCGAAGGCAGACAGTATGCTGGTTAAGTACATGCGAGAAGAGCTTTAGAAGATTCATCTGTCAAATAATACTGGCCCCCATCACACTCGCAATTGACTAGATGATAAAAACAGCTGTCAGTGATGTGACTAAAATCATGTAATGGTGTTTTGTTGCAAATCAACGATTCAACTGACTCTCTGGTCTGGCAGTGTTACTTGTGCTTATTTGTCACTGCTATCAGAGTACAAATTAAGGAAATCTGCTGTGCTGCAAATTTACTACAGCCATATTACAAGTAAACAAATTTTTTATGTTCTTGACACTTATATGAAAGAACATAATTGGTCATAAGTGTGTAAATTTATAATGCACTTAATTCAGTTAATTTGGGTAATTGGAATGAAATTGTATTAATTTTAAGTTTTTATAGTAATGTTCTTTTTAAATTATGTTTATTAATTATAATAAGTTTTTTATTCTATTATCTATGTTAATTGACTAATGTATGTGATTTTAATTATGTGACATGTAATTTATTATATGTATCTTGACACATCTATTATCAAAGGGACTATTTCCACATCCTAGGTTCTTTACCTGTATGGATATATGGCCAAAGTGTGCCAATGTGTAAACAGAGTGAGCCAAATCAATGACACGAAAGACAGAAGGGGTGACAGTCTATATCAAAACTCTGGTACAAACTTCTTCAGTCAATGCATGTTTCACAAACAAGCACTTGTTAAAAAGTTGCAAACAAGCCTGAAAGGCATGTTAGATGATGACATAAAAATAGTATATCACATTAAATTCATGCTCCTTAAAGCCAGATTATTTACAGTTTTTTTTTTTTTTGTTTTTTTTGTTTTTTTTTTTTTTTGTAAAGGGATGGAAATAAATATACAGCACTGCTGCTACACACAGAGGTAAGGTGGCTCTCAAGGGGAAAAGTGCTTGTCAGAGTTCTTCAGCTTTATTAAGAAAGTTCTGCTTTCTTCGTACAGCACCAAATCGATCTGTCAAACTGTTTAACATGTACCACATGGTTACAGAAATTGGCATACTTTACAGATATTTTGATGGAGACTAATGAACTAAACCTCTCACTGCAAGAGATAAACATTTCTATATTCATAAGAAGGGAAGGAATTTCTTCTTTCCAACTCGCATTTTGGATCAAAAGTGTAGAAAGCAAGAAATGCCATCGTGACAAGTGCAATGAACATATACATCTACACTGACCAGATAAGACAGATGTGTAGAGTACAGCATTGGACAAGCTTCAAGGACAGCACAGTCCTGGCCAGATTGACAGCTAGACAGACAATTCAGTGAAAGCCTCTGAGATCTGGCCACACTCCAGTAACTTCAACAGAAATACAGGATTCCTCATGGTTCCAGCCATGAACATGATGAAATATGGGACAGCCACCAAGAAACATAAGTTTGAGCCAATGACAAACAACATGAATTATGACAACTGCCAGCATGACTCCAATACTGTCTTCCCACCACTCCATGCTGGGACAGGCTACCAATGAACATTTAAATCTGCACTGTTCCCTCAGCAGTGTATGCTGGAACAGTGAAGAGCATGTTCTGTGGTATAAATAAAACATGGCAGACATAGCATTTACTACATAAACCTCCGATGATGGAAGCAGTTTCCAAAAGGATAGTAAGCCCATAATGACAAAACTGATTGCCCAGTAAAACTTCACTATACACAACAGCCATGAAAGTTTCAAATCATACCAGGATGCACATCAAGGTTACTGTATTCTGGGTTGTGGTACATGTAGTCTGCTAATCCTTATAGCCATTACTGTGACTGCCTCAAATCTCACATAATGTGCCCAACATATCACCTGGTGAAAATTAACCCAGGTCACACGTATGCCCACTGCAATTCCATGTTGAATGTTGTTTTCAGTTTTCCACTGTGAGGTCTTAGAAATGTCTGAATAAATCATCAATTAAATGTAGTTTATATTCTGAGCACTGACTGAAGTGTGTGCCTGGAATAGATAACTGTGACAACACAAAATTTTAAGTAACAGCAGATGATGAAATTCTTTCAATGGACAGATAAATACTGACTCATGTAATCACTTAATCTCAAAGGATGATATATCAGATATTTGGCAGGTGGCTGATTTATGACCTGAAGGACCAGGATGGTCAACTGAAGTGGCTAGCTGAAACATTACTTCAAGCTGAGAAAAACAGTGAGAAAGTTCACATACTTAGCCACATGCCCTCAGGATATAACACGTGTCTTAAGACTTGGAGCCGTGAATTTCACAAAATCATCCACAGGTTAGTAAACTATCACACCATACACTGGCATTGATTATAAGCACATAAATATGACCCCATGCCTAGGTCAGTGCTATGAAAATATGAATTGAGCATGTCACTTCAACACCAGATGACAGTGTGGTGTTAGTTTCACGCTCTGAATATGAATGTATTCAGGGAATCAGTTTGGATGTTGTGAATAATAAACCCTGATCTTACAGTTTGTACTCAGTTGGTTTACTGACTGTAAACCCACCCTTTACAATGCACACATTAATAGTCTACAATCTCATATTCTTCTGTTATGTGATCAGCAATGTTCAATTATTACAAATGAAAGGTGCAGAATAATTTCTAAAACATGCATGTCTATTTCCTCAGGTTTGAAGCCACCATAACAGCTCAGTTCAATGGTCATACCCATAATGATCACTTCTACATTTATTATGCAACTGATGAACCAACTCGTGCCAATAACATAGCATTCAATGGTGGAAGTGTAACCCCTTTCAGCGATCTCAACCCTAACTACAAGTCCTACAAAATGGACTCTGCCACTTATGTGAGTAAGCCATATAATTGGAGTACAAACTACTCACAGAAGCCTACAGCAAAGTGATGAGTGCTGTAAACTAAATAAAATACTTACATATGTAAATAATAAACATTATATTTCTGAAACAGTATTAATATACTGTCACAATTTATGTGTGCATGACGATAGATGGGGTATGGACTGGATACTGGAACTACACTGTACAGATCATTGACACACACAGACTAGTGTCTTCAGTCTACTAAGGGAGATTCTTCAGCTTCCCACACTTAGGTCCACCTGTCACAGCCATCCAGTGCAGAATTCTTGTCAACTGACAACTCAGCTAACTGGGTCCCAGGCTGGTGGCCATTTCATACCAACCCCCTAGTCTTTTCTTCTCAGGCTGACTTTCAACTGACAAGTGAACTCTCTCACTCACCAACAAGTTACTTCATATCACTTCACTCAACTGAACTGCAGACAACTCTTAATATTATGCATCCCATTGTGTGTCACTGATAAGATATACAAAGTAAGGAATACACCATCTAAACAACAACAACCAGTATTCAAACAAAGAAGATACTACTGCATCAACATGTTTTGACCCTCTCACAGATCATAATCAGGAGTACAAAGCAGCAGTCTAAGCTGTTGAGTTGCAATCAGTTGTCATTTTATTCATCAAATAAGGAATCTTATTGTGTCTTGAAATTAAATTCAAATGTAAATGTATGACAAAACTTGGGTGAAATTTAAAACTAAAGCCCTTAGATAAAAATTGTAATTTAAAATTACAGAAGTGAAGATGAGAAATTAAAACATTAAACCAAGAGAACAAAGATTAAGACATAAAAATTAAAATAGTGTTTGTTGGCAACACTCTGTGACCACCACGTGTAAGCCTGGTTTTAAGCCAGATCATTTACCGTATATTGATCTTAAGCTCTCTAAGACATTACTGAGGTCATGGCTACATGACCCATCCTATTGAGAAGATTCCAGTACGCGGGCCCCCCATGCTGTAGTCACTTCTGGCTTAAAACCAGGCCTACACATAGCAGTCGCACACTGTTACCAACAAACACTTCTTAATTTTTATGTCTTAATCTTTGTTCTCTTGGTTTAATGTTTTAATTTCTCATCTTCACTTCTGTAATTTTAAATTACAATTTTTATCTAAGGGCTTTAGTTTTAAATTTCACCCAAGTTTTGTCATACTTTTACATTTGAATTTAATTTCAAGACACAATAAGATTCCTTATTTGATGAATAAAATGACAACTGATTGCAACTCAACAGCTTAGACTGCTGCTTTGTATGCCTGATGATGACCGGTGAAAGGGTCGAAACATGTTGCGTCTCTAGTAAACATAATAAAAGCAAATGTTGATGCAGTAGTATCTTCTTTGTTTTGAATACTGACTGTTGTTGTGTAGACGGGGTATTCTTTACTTTATATATCTTATGCAGACAACTCCCTACTCTGGAATTCAACTAACCCTGCTTATAATATTTAGGCAAGAACCACACAGAAAACACCATTTCATTGTTATAGTCCAACAATACCTAGACCCTTGTATGTGGCCATGGGAACCTGCTTACCAAGCAGTTGCCCAGCGATAGCCTGGGTACTCTTGAGGTGTTTACCAACCATTGCTTAGAAATGGGTGATTGTTTATCCACCTACTGCACAGCAATGGCTATACATGCTACAATAATGTGAAAATTTATGAAATGATAATCATTCTACCATCCTCAAACTCTATAAATTAAAACTTAAATTAAAATCAGCTGCTGCTGCTATAGGATTTGTTAGGTTTTCAGAGTGGTGAAGGTTCATACTGCGGTCTTTGTGTTCATGACAGTGTATAATCTGGCACATGACTACCACCATTTTAGCGGAACATAATGCCTCCATCTCAGGGTTCAATCCTGAAGGTGTAGATAAAATGTTCCTCCAAAAATTTGGTACCCAGCTGCCATACTACATGATGTCATAATCCAGAAGACTGTATAATTTTGCCAATTATTTCATTACAATGTGAAATTTTACCTATCACAAAGAATGAAGATACTCATTTAAAAACTGCATGATTTGGATATTTGAAAGAAGTGGTGTGAACAGGAAATGGAGAAAATAATCTTACTTTTAACTTAACCTATTATTGTCATGGTTATTAAATCCAACTGATATGTCAGATATATGACACATTTTTGAGAAATCACAATGAATTCAATTAGGTGGAAAAACTAAAGTAAGGGGCTGTTGTGCAAAACTACATGGGAGGGTACTATTAGAATGGAGCTTATGGAAACTGGATGAAAACTGAAAGTAATTAAATTGTAAGAGGCTCATTTGTTTCCTTCAAGTAACAGCAATGAACTTGAGCATTCCACAGAAACAGCAATTCCCTTTAGTAGCTCAATAACCATCAATTATTTTGGGAAGACCCCATACCAGAAATTTGGTCAAAGCAGTGGTTACTATATACACCAACTACCTTAACACTTAAAAACTTTGTATTCTGTCAGGGCTGTACTTATGGCTTTTATGTTTCTCACAATACACAGCAATTACTTCATTAAAGAATATTAACTAAGGTCTTCATAAAGGAGAAGTAATTATTGCCTTTGAAGTAGGAACTCAACTTTTAAATATTACCTAGAACAGCTTCAGGCTTCAAAGAGTGAAACTGCATTAAACTTTAGTGGAAATTTCTTGCAGAATATCCTAGATAGTGAAACATGGATCTACAATCTTACTAAAGCAAACATGAATGGCAATGCAACTCCAACCTGGGTTAAAATGTATTCTTTCAAAGAAGCATATGGAGTGGAGTCTCTTTCCCCTACATCCTTGGATAAACTACTGCAAAACATGGCTACCAACAGAAGCCTTCTAGAACAATATTCAAGGTAAACAATTATTATTCTGTAGCACGGGAAATCAGTCTCTTTCCCCTACATCCTTGGATAAACTACTGCAAAACATGGCTACCAACAGAAGCCTTCTAGAACAATATTCAAGGTAAACAATTATTATTCTGTAGCACAGGAAATCAGCAACCATATGCCTGCAGGGATCACTCCTTGGTGCCCTCAAAAGGGTTCTTAGGTGCAGAATTTAAATTTTTGTAATAACTTCACAACTGTCTGCTGACGATCACACAGCACATGGCGATTTCCATTCTATGAACCAAATCTCTGTCAAATGCAGAGTTCTGCTAACATCATGGTTCAGATGCCTCAAATAATTTAGGGGTTCAGGTTTAAATAAGAGTAAGTGACATTTTCTACATAAGAAAATGTGTTATTGCTCATTGCATATTTTTATAGGTCAGAGTATACCAATGGTTTGGAAAATGTTCTGAGAACATAAAGTAGAAAGCTACTCATAATCTAATTATTTCGATTCAATCCATCCCCTTAAAAAAAGATTCATACTGTGTCCTCTATAAGCTTCTCCTACCGGTCCACCCACCCCTCCCCCCACAAAAAAAAACAACAGGCAACTCCTCCTCTAACACCAAATGCTTAAATGACCCAAGCTGTACTTGTCTAACTGCCTTTGGGTCAAAGACAATGACAGGTAATGCTAAAGTTTAATTTTATCATGTAACAAACATATAATAGGTAAAAAATGAAATAACTATAAACTGAAAACATGGGCATGCGGCCTGACTGGACCAAGGATGTATGATGTGTAGTTATCATGAGTTTGTAATGTGTGACATGTTTTATATCCAGCCCTACGGGGTGGTGATTGAATCTGTGAAGTGAAAATAAATGTAAATATATATGGGAATAAGCATAAATCTTTACATCACAGAATAAACCAGATGGCCAATACAAACTCAGGATGTCTGTTTACTGTTCTGGTATTATTACTTGTACAGAGAAAAATAGTATCCAGTACTTTAATATTTCTGAGATAATTTCAAAATATAGAGAACTGTGGTATTCCTTACAGAAAAAATGTTAACATTTCAGTATTTGATTCAAGGTCCAGAAGCAAATGGTTAAGATTTTTTAAACTTATTCTTGGTAAATTCCAATTTCATTAGCTTATATTACAAAGTGTTGAATAATCAGAAGATTAGTTAACAATGAATTGTAAAGGGAATGGCCATAGCATAATCTGAGGTACTATTCAAGCATTGCCTGCAAGGGCCATGAAAATCCTTGGGAGGGGAGAAATCCTTGGTCAGCATACCTGATCTCTGCACTGAGACAAATAACGAGAAGATACGTCAGAAAACGCAAAGAACACTGATGTCATAATCGTATTTTTCTTGTAACAAAAGAAAAATGCTCTATGAATATGTTAATTACAATTAACACTCAGAACACAACTGGCAAACTGAACATCTGAACGCCAAAAACTGGTTATATGACTGATCTACTGTTAGCATATTTCTAAATGGTCAAAGAAATAATAAAAAATATATGCTGCCTCCTTGTTATGCCAGATATGTTCAGGCACAACTTCCAAGCAGCACTTAAATATGGTACATATTAAATCCATATTAAAATGCTGATGTACTCACACTACAGTATTAAGAATTTTGCAGATAGACTAATTTGTAGTTACTAAATAACGAGCTATATTACAGCACGCAAAATTGCCTCACATTTTCTTTGGTATGTGACATTCACATCAATAAGTTTTTGGTAATTATTGGACTAAGAAGTTATGCATTCTAACATATTCAATAAACGAGATCAAATTCAACATATGGCCTTACACATCTCAGTCCCTTCCTCAAGGGCATGATGATAAAAGACAATTAGTTTTACGGTTGTTGTTCATCTAAAAAACATGCTTCACATAATGTGCCTTATGTCACACAAAAACAGAAGATATGAGGGGCAGTAGTGTTTGTGTGCTGCAAAAAGGCCTAATGAACTGCAACTTTACTGTAAAAACTCTAAGAAATACTGTTTTACATGAATGGAACAATTGTGAACCATACTTAAAGATCAACAAAAAATGTAAAGCCAATTTCTTTTTAATGTCATATCTCAGAATGATCTGAAGGGGCTAAACCATATAAGGCCATACATATAATTTCATCTATTTTTATTAAATCTGTTACACTGGATGGCTTGCTAATCCAACAATTCCTTCATACAACTCAGGAAATTGGATCTGAGTTTTATTACTAATCCCAACAAAAATGATCATATCTTGCCTCACCCTGCCTAACCTATCATTTACATGTAATTCTGGCTTCACTGTACGAGTGTTCAATTGAGACAGTAATATGCTGCCTCTGTGATTGTGCAGCTGTAGGTTACTGCCCAATCACAGAGGCAATACTGTCAGGTTTCTCCCTATACGGCACAAACTCTAATATCTTATTTACACAGAACTTCAGAAGTCATTAATGTAAAGAGGCAAAAAAGAGGTAACATATTTTATAATAAATAAAGTAAAGTAAGTAAGTCCCACAGTATCTAGATAATCGGCTCAAAGATGGGGGTAAGGTTGTCAGCCTTACGTGCCGGCTGCGCTTTACTTCCCCAGGAAAATTATTTATTTAATTCCTGGTACTCATTTCTGTTAGAGGCTGCAAGTAACTCCATTCTGTCTTCTAAGCATGTCCTGCAGCAAGCAAATATGTTTGTGCCATTTTCTGAAGTTGACCATTAGAAACTGCAGCAAATACATGTTATTTCATTTTGGAGACCTTCAGCATTGCAACGGTTATTCCATACTTCAAGCTAAAGATAAAAATAAAGTAACCAGGATTAGGGGCTCTAGGAAGTCAGAGCCCTTTGCTCATTATTTTATTCTCAATTACTCATACACAGCAGCGAAGGACCTGTTGGCAATATTTGCTGGAAATACCAATACTGTCTTTCTGCAGCTATCAACTGGTTCAAGCAGTGATTTAAGATATTGCTCACATACTGATCTGAATTCACAGCGTGCTGAAAAATATCATGCCAATGATTTGCTGCACAATTACTGTATACCATCCCCCTTAATGTTTTCACACATTTTATGGAACACAAGAATCCATTGCTGTGCTCACAAATGCACTCTAATGCGCCCCATCCTGAGCCAGATGAATCTAGTCCACATCCTCATGTCCCATGTCACTGAAATCTACTTCAGGGTTATCGTTCCATGTACATCCAAGTCTCCCAAGTGGAATATTCAGTTCAGTTTTACCCACTAAAATGATCTGTATGTTTCTCAGCTCTGACATGTATCCAATACATCTTGCCCATCTCATGCTCTTTGATTTGACCATCCTAAAAATATTTAGTGAAAAGTATAAATTATGAAGCTCATCCCTAGCTAAATTCAGATATTAACTTCTGTATTAGATGGTTCAATAAACTTTGCATTGGACACTCATGAGAAATGTGAACTTAAATGTTTGAGTATCCTACTGAAAGTAGTTCCATAATTATGTAAGAAGTAATTTAAGGTTGGTTTCGCAACAAAACCACTAATACTCAAAGGGTTAAACCAAACAGAAAACCATAACACAACATAGTAGACACCATCACAATTTCAAATTGTTACTGAAAAGTTATTCAACAGACATTTTACATTGCAACTGATGACAAACCTAACATGAAATGTGAATGGAATACTATGAAGGAAAAACGTTCATATGTAAAGTTGATCACATATTACAACTTTTTATTCGTGACCAGTGAAGTATTTTATCATATTAATTCCCATAGAAAGCTCCAAACCAAATAGCACAGTCAATTGGGTAGTAGAGGAGTACTGGAAAGAAATATATGAACAGGAAACAAATACTTGTATCCTGTCCCCTGTCAAATTCTCTCCTTTTATCCCTCTTTCATTGTCATGTTCTAAAAGTTCCATTTATTGCAGGGAATTCTACAATGCATTTTATCCTACATCCTTGGGACAACAGATCTTGTCTGGTGAAGGCAGGTTTTACTGTACATTAATCAAAGCTCTATAAATTACTTGTAAGTAAATTATTTTTGTACTGTGAGAGTTCTCTTATGTTTCAGGTACTACGTAAAAGAAGCTGACACAGCACTTGCAAAGGGCTGCGATAGAGAATGCCTAAAAAAAAATCTCTGTGAAATTGTCACAGCTCAGATGGGAGAACCAACTCAGTGCAACATATTATTGAAAAAAATTCAAACAGCTGGTGAAAATAATTTTAACTTAGTAAGATCATGAGTACATCATAAGTAAAATTCATATTGGGTGCCAAATAGCCATATGGGATATCTGTACTACCAATGGCCAAGTACTACTCCAATACGTTGAACTTCTGGGTCCTAATTAGAGATGGAGCGGATTCATGACATACATCATTTAGATAACCAAACATCAACAGTATGAAATAATTAACTAGTATCAGATATCTAAATTAAATATGAGTTCATCAGCTCATGTACTTTATAATGTTATCATAACGTAGCATAAAGACAACTGAAATGTCAATGAGAAATTTTTAAAAAACAAACATTGTGAAAAATATCTAACCTTAATAATTTGAAAAGTTCTGAAAACGAAGCAACATTTATACTAAGACTTGATAGAATAACACTGTGCATTATGTGGTACTCTTCATCTAGAGCAAGCATGTCCAACGCATTGATCGCAATCGACCGGTCGATTTTTGGTTCATCTCATAGGCCTATAAGGAAATTATACGTGAAACACACGTAAATTCACTTATAATATAATATGATTTAATTCAGATTTTGAAGGGAAAATACATATTAGTGATTCCTAGTTTTCTGTTCTTATGTAGCTTACGTGAAAATTGTTTTACACTTTTGTTAAGTGAACTGTGGGGAAGTCCCTACTCTATCCTTCTCACGTGAACTCTTATTTCATCACTTATCATCAGCCATGTGTGTTCTGATGCAAGAGTGATCGACAGAACGTGTGATTCAGTTTGTTCCCTCCCTCCAGTCAACTGTGAATCCCCGTACGTTGAACTAACGAGTGAGACTATTATTATATTAGCTGTTAGTGGAGATTTGTCACTTTGCTGTGCATTAAACAAATATAGTCTGGGGATAGGCTCAGTGTAATGAAAGGGACAGTAAGTGCTCTGCTCATGTTATTTTATTAATTTCGAAAGTGTCTGTGTGCATGTGTCAGATAAAACAGTTACCTCACTATAGTGGAAAATGCAACGCCTCAGTATTCTTGCCAAAAAGGGTAATCCAGAACGTCACTATAATGCTCTCCATAGCAATAAGTAGATGCTGATTTTCCACCCAAAAGTGAAATTCATAAACTTAAGCTCAAGGGACTTAAATCGAAATTAGCTGCTCAACAATTGATGGCAAAACCAAGGTCACTTTCTAATAATGCAACCAAATCATCCTTCAAGGTCAGCAACCTGATCCTTAAAAAATGCAAATCTTTCACTGAAGGGGAATTTGTAAAAGAGTGTTTTCTTGAAATAGCTAATAATCTTTTTGAAGGATTTAAAAATAAAGAGATCACAGGCACTATTCAAGATCTTCAATTATCAAAAGACACCATTGTGCGGCGAATAGAAGTGATGTGTGGAAACATAACTGAACAGTTGTTGAAAGACGTTCCCAATTGTGTTGCTTTCTCCCTCCAACTGGATGAATCTACAGACATCATAGACACAGCCCAGTTACTAGTTGCTTTTACAACAAACAGCATGTGTAGTGTTATTTTTATCAATATTTTTGCTTAAAGCGAGGTATGACAGTAGGAGGGGGTGGCAGATCACTGGCAGTTTTGACACTAAAAAGTCGATCTCAACCTGTTTGAAGGTGGACATGCCTGATCTAGGGGAATATTTTCAACAAAGGTTTTCAATAAAAATACACTTCATCAAAAATACTTAACCTCTCTCTTTCTTCTTCCACTGCTAACACAGCATAACGGTCAGTGTTCAGTTCATTACCACACAACAGAAACACATTTCTTTCAGTCACAATATGACCAACTATAAGTAGCTGGGTGACCTGACCCTCAGATCCAAAAGAAACACTGACAGACACTTTCTATGTATGAGAGGTAGGCCTTCTCAGCCCTTGTACCGCAAACTCAGTGGCTTATTGTGCTTGCAGACACTTTCTAACTTGACTAATAGATATTATTTTGGCAATATCTCCATGCTTATATATTGCATCTCACTCCGATGACCAAAAGAAGAGGACTGACTGATGTAGATGGGTTTCTAAGTCACTAGATAGAATATCATCCAACTTCCAAATGCCACTGACTATATTATCACAGACAACAGCAGCAGCAGCTTCATTCCTAGCAATGCCAACATGTCCAGAGATCACGAAGACAGCAAGTGTGTGCCCCTTGTTATATAAATAACTCGTGTTTCTAACTATAAGCACCAAAGATCAGTGCATGCTGGTTCTCTTATGGGCATGGACAACACTTGGTGAATCTGTAAATGTGACGTACTTGCCTATTGGTCTTTCTATAGTGCAACATGACACGAGGAGTGCACACAGCACAGATCTCAAAGAGATATTGTGTTCATTATGCATGCAGATCCTGCAGGCCTGTTTCAGAGGGAACCATTATATATATATATATACAGTAAAACTTGGTTATAGCAACATCGGTTTCTGCGACACCTTGTCTATTGCGTCAAATATTCAATGGTACGAACTAATTCCTCATAAAGCAACTGTTTTTATACCTTGCTTAGTACGACATGCACAAATGCATCAACCTCGTATGTAACGTCATTTTCATTCCTGAAT